TGTCGGCCTGTGCGGGCATCCGAGCAGTGGGTCACCCGCTGACTCGCAGGAGTAAACTGGTGAACCCCCGCATCCTGCAAGTCAGCACCACTCACCAAGTTCGTCGAGAACGAGGGGAGGTACAGACCAGACAAGGTGCCCGAGGGGGCAGCCGGACACGGGAGGACAGTGGAGAAGTGAGAGAGGACAGGACCCCCAGAGGGGTCAGCCAGGGAGACTGCAACCGGCCGGCCAAGCGGCGTGAGTGTGGTGCGGTCTCGAAAGAAGGAGCGAGAAGCCCCTGAGTCAAGTGTGAAGGTGAGGGAGGCCGAAGCCGACGCAGTACCTGAGAGCGCAGCCTCACCAGTACCTGAGAGTGCAGACGCACTGGCACCTAGAGCAGCAGCCGCAGAAGTACCTGGCGCAGCAGTACTAATGCCCGGGTCGGGCGGGAAACACTGGTAACAGTCACCCTCCTCACTAATAGTCACAGCATACATGGCAGCAAGGATAGCATCAAAGTCAAGATCAAAGACAGCTACGCCAGCCCTAGACAGCTCTCCCCAACGGGGAATCTCACTGGCCTCGGGGAACTGCTGACGCCAAGCGTCCGTCAGGCGGGCAAAGCAGCGCTGAGTGGGGTGCGCACCCCCACACTGCTCACCCGCTCGGTCACCGGAACGAAGGACGTAGGTGCATGGACCAAAACCCCCACCCCGCTGACGCTGCGTGTACCACTCACGGAGCTGGTGGGGCGGGGGGATGTCCCGCGAACGCTGCTGCTGCTGCTGCTGCTGCTGACGCTGGCCACCACCAGGGCCGCTACGCTGCGGGGCACCACCCCGACCAGCTCCACCCCCTCCGCCACCGCTGCCTCCACCTCCACCACCACCGCTGCCTCCGCTCCCACCGCTGCCGCCACCGACGCCTCCTCCTCCGCTGCTGCCACCTCCACCACCGCCCCCGCCACCACTCCCACCGCCACCCCCACTCCCTCCTCCGCCTCCACCGCCTCCTCCACCGCCCCCGCCAGCTCCACCCGCGCCCTTGCCCCCCTTGCCCCTGCCAGGGCGGCGTCTCCCGCTAGGGGCAGACGCCGCGCAGACCGACTCAAGACCAAGCAGGTCGGCAGCAGCAGCAGAGGCAACAGAGGGCAGCAGGGGGGAAGGAGAACACCCCTCAAAGATGGGGGTGCGAGGGTCACCACGAGAGGCTCCTACAGCGACGATGCTCTTCTCCGCCGCCAGGAGGGACTTCTCGAGGAGGTCGACAGTGAGAGTGGTGGGACAGACCGAGAGGTAGTGGTCCCTGACTACGCGAAGGGAGTCAGGGAGGCGTGTGACGATGTAATAGAGAGTGATGTACATGGGGGGGGGGTTCTTGGCGCAGAACTCAGCAGGAAGGGCGGCGCGGTAGCGAGTGTCACTAGTGCGGAGGTGCGTAATGAGGTCAGCGACGGTGGGAAAGGCAGCAAGGTCAGGAAAGAGGTACGGTAGCATGAGGCGGCTCAGGGCAGCAGTGGCAGGGGAAGAGTAGCGCGCAACTACAGCGTCGTACAAGGTCTGAGCACTCTTGTACTGACTAAAGTGCGCGCGCTCAGTGGTAGGCAGGTGGCGACGCACAGCAAGACGTGCAGCAGCATCGCGGGTGGCCCACTGAGAGCGAACAGTGGGGTCAGCATCAGTAGCAGGGGCAGGAGAGGCGCCAGAGGTGAGGTCAAAGAGGGAAAGACCGTCCGCCCTATCGCACTGTAAGAACAGCTGCAGGTCGTCGACCCAGACCTCAAAGTCAATGGCTCGACCCTCAGCGTCAAAAGCGAGGACGCTAGGGGTAGCCATGACGACGACAGACGAGCAGTGCAAGCAGTAGGGGAAGGGCACGCAGTGACAGTGGGGCTGTGCTCACCGGACAGGGCAGGTCGGGCGGCCCGGCAGTAGGGCGGCTCGGCTGCTCAGCGGCTCGGCGGCAGTGCAGCTCGGCGCCCGGGCGGCTCGGCGGCAGGGCGGCTCGGCTCCCGGGCGGTTCGGCGGCAGGGCGGCTCGGCTCCCGGGCGAATCGGCGGCAGGGCGGCTCGGCTCCCGGGCGGCTCGGCGGCAGGGCGGCTCGGCTCCCGGCGGTTCTGCTGCTAGGCGGCTCCCGCAGGTAGGGCGGCGGTTGGGCCGCAGGTAGGGCGGCGGTCGGGCCGTAGGTAGGGGGGCGGTAGGGCCGCAAGTGGGGCGGCGGGCAGGCCGCAGTTAGGGCGGCGGGCGAGCCGCAGGTAGGGCGGTGAGTGGGCCGCAGGTAGGGCGGCGTGGGGCCGGGACGGGCGGCGCGCGGGCGTCGAGGGGACGGGACGGGCGGCGCGCGGGCGTCGAGGGGCCGGGACGGGCGGCGCGCGGGCGTCTAGGGGTCGGTCCGGGTGGCGCGCGGGCGTCTAGGGGCCGGGACGGGCGGCGCGTGGGCGTCGAGTGGCCGGGACGGGCGGCGCACGGGCGTCGAGGGGCCGGGACTGGCGGCGCGCGGGCGTCTAGGGGCCGGGACGGGCGGCGCGCGGGCGTCTAGGGGCCGGGACGGGCGGCGCGCGGGCGTCTAGGGGCCGGGCCGGGCGGCGCACTGGCGTCTAGGGGCCGGGACGGGCGGCGCGCGGGCGTCTAAGGGGCCGGGACGGGCGGCGCGCGGGCGGCTAAGGGCCGTGACGGGCGGCTAAAGGGGCCACTAGGGGCCAAGAGAGAGGGGAGCGCGACCCGGGTAGGGGCAGAGTGCGCTCCGGGCAGGAAAAAAAAAAAAACGGTGGGCCCTAGGAACAGTTCCCACGAGGGAACCTGCTCGATACCATGAGAATAGTAGAACGAGGATGAATGAACTATGAATGAAGTGAGTACATATGGGAAACCCTAATTGGGTTGTACCCCCTATGGGATACCCCACTATAGCCTACACAACAGTATAAGCTATATATATGTTCTGACAATTTGGTGACGTTGCGGAGCTGAATTTCTTGAGCGATTTTGTGCTTCAGGCCGCCGATGTAGCGGTCGATGCGCTCGCCCTCGTGCATATAGCCCACCTGCTCGCACAGCGCCAAAAACCCGCTGGTTTAGTCTTGGACAGAACCGAGCTGGCGCCAAGTACGGAGCATCTGTCGCGCCGCGATCGAAGCCGCGATTGGCTCGAATCTCGTGCGCAGACCTGCGCACCACGCGTCCCACGTGCGATACTGGGTACTTCTACGAAATACGACGGCGCCCAGGGTCCAGTTTGTCCTTCCTGTGTCGGTAGAGTCGCGTAGTCCACCGGCTTCGTGACGATGACGCGCCACCAGTCCATGGCGGGTCCTCGCAGCAGCGACACGGCGTATCGAATCTTCGCCGAGTCCTCCGAGATCTAGTTGGCGTCAAAGAAGACATTCATCGTGAACAACGACGCCTGAATGGTCGAACCACCCCGTTGGCTTAGATCGAAGCAGGGCGGACGCTGCGGCTTCAGCGACATCGGTGACGGCAGTGCTGATTCGCCGATTGGCACAGGAATTGTGATGCATGGTTGGCTTCTGGCCGCGTTCGTCGCTCCGGGGTGTGTCGTGCCGTGGTTATCGTCTCCGTCGTTGCGGTCGACGCCATCACTAGCCGCGCTCGAGTGTTGCCCCACACTTCCGTGTTGTGATGCCTAACGTGCGGGTTGTCCATACGAGCCTTGTGTCTGTGATTGTGCTTGCTGTGCTCGTTCGACGTCATTTTGCAGGGATGTACGTTCTGCTGTCAGCGCCGTAATTTCTTCAGAACTTTCGCGCAGATGCTGCAGCAGTTCGTTCAGGCGCTCCTACGTGAGTATCGTGACGTCGAGGTGTTCGGCCATTTCGAAGGGCGGCGGCTCGTCTTAGCTCTAGGCGCAGTCGTGGCTGCACGCGTTTACGATAGAATGCGAGGACAGCGGCTCCTAGGTGCTAAGGGGCGTGAGTCCTTTCGAGTGCAAAAAAATCAAAAGTTTATTTCACTGGGTGCGGAGATGCGCGGTCCGAACGAAAGTGGCTCTGATAACCAAGTGTTACGGGTGCAATGGAACGAAATAGCGAGCATTGCACTAGGTGTCGAACGAGTACAAAGTATGAGCGAAGGCATGAGCGAATACTTATGTGCGAAAACATGCAACGGTTAAGCGGTGCGTGCGAGCTAGCTAGTGCTAGGCTGGCATCGAGGTTCGGGCTAGTCCCGAAGCGTAGGCCGACTCGGCCAGGCCAGCGGTGCATGGTTTGGTAGAACAGTGCGTGCGAAGTTGGCGAAGCACCGTTAGCGGTATCGGGCGAACAACGGCTGCTGCTGTACGCGATATTGAAGAACGCGATAAGGAATGTTGAAAAATTCCTTACACTATCCCCCCCCCCTCAATAAGCCCCCTTCGCTACGCGAGTGCGTGCATATCGCGGAAACAGCTCCTCAGGTACCCTTGCAGGGAAGGGTGGTTTTTAATGTTGGCCAGGGGCACCTAGCTATCCTCAGTTGGTGTGCGGTCCTTCCATCGAACGAGGAACTCGATCCTCTTTATGCCTGTGGGGTGACGAATCCGATGGCTCAGATTTTTCTCGGGCTCGACGATCGGCTCCAATGCAGGGCGAGTCATGGACGGCGGGCGATGTTGTGGCAGTTGGCTTGTGGTCAGGATGTATGGGCGAAGCAGGCTGACGTGGAACGATGGGCTGATGTACCAGTCTGTCGACAACAATAGGTGGTCTGAAAAAATCTTTACACTTCTGCTCACTCTTATTCAACTCATAACATGTTCTCTGATGAGTATAACCCGGCCGTAGTGCACCGCACTGAAACGGTGCGGGGGTAGAGTCGCCAACAAAAGAACACGATGCAAACGAAGTATTCAGCACCATTGCCGTGTGCACGAAAGGACATCAGCGACAGGCAATCCCCAGGACAAGTCATCGGCCGCAAGTATAGTCTAACTATCTATAGGCCCGCCCGAATCGAAGCCTCCCGGGACCGGTTCAGTGGGAACGGCGGTATCGGCGCTCGTCTGGGCGCAGCAGCGGCGCAATGCAACCGAAAGGGGGCGGCACGGCGGGGTTGGGAGCCTCCGCGCAGGTTGCGCCTGCGACAGGCGCCGCCGCGACTGTTGGCGCATCTGGCGGCGGTGGAACGGCGGGAACCGTAGGCGGAAGCAAGGCGAAGGGGACGAAACGTAAGGGATGGGGTGTGAGTGAGAGGGCATGCGGTGTGAGTGAGAAGCATGCGGCGCGAGTGAGAGGGCATACAGAGGGGTAAAAGAAGGGCATGGCTCCATGCATGGGCGGCATGGGCGAGTCCTCTGGGCAGGCCAATTCTGAGCCGACTCAAGAATCGTTTAGGGTTGACATTTAAAATTCTGAGTGGACAAAAAGATCTTCTTTCGCGCAGTCGACGCCGCGCTCCAATCAGGCCTGCGGAAGTGTGGCGAAACGCTGCGTGCGTGTGTGCCACGTGTGTGTGCGTGTGGCACGCACGCACGTGCTTGCTTGTGGGGCGCGTGTGTGTTCTGGCATCCATTCGCTGAAACAAAACGCCTCACCTCACCCTTCTTCTCACCCTCTTCACGGCTCCCCTCACTCATTCCCTGTTCCAACCCTCCTCCAGATATCTGAAGAATATATCCTTTCACCCTGTCTTCTTCTATTCTCTCACTTCACACTCGCCCTCCCTCTCCCTTCCACCCCCACTTGTTCCCCACCCCTTGCCCATCTGCCAGCCTTCAATGCGCCAGGCGGAGCAGCAGGCCGGGCGCAGCGAGCTCAAGAAGACGTCCAAAGCAGATGTGCTTTCATCCTCTCTTCCTTCCATTCTCGCACTGCACACACACACAACCCCCCTCACCCCCCCATCCCACCCCTGTTTGCTTTGCCCGCCCTCGCTCTCTTCCCGCAGGCGGAGCAGCAGGCGGGGCGGCAGCAGCTCGGCCCAAGAAGATGTCCAAAGCAGCGGCAGCAGCAGCTGCTGCTGCGGCTCAGAAGCAGGCGGCAGGTGGGTGGCACTGGGGTGAGGGGTGGCAGGTGGGCGACAGTGAGGGGTGGCAGGTGGGCGGCAGTGAAGGATAGATTCATTTTCTGTCAGCTGAGTGACGTGAGAAACGAGTGTGGGAGGTGGGAGGTGGGAGGTGGAGGTGGGGGGTGGGGGGTGGGGGGTGCTAGGTGCGCAGCAGTCCCTTCTCATCTGCCTAATATGCAGTGACGATGCAGGGTGACTCGAGGTTTGCATTCACAGCCCTCACTTGCCTCCCTCCCTCCTTTCCCTTTTTCCTCTGTGCCCTGCATGCATCTGTGTCTGCTCTTCCAGAGGCAAAGGCAGCAGCAGCTGGAGATGCTACGGCAATTCCTATTGCTCAGCAACAGCAGTCACAGCAACAGCAGCAGCAGCTAGTGAAGCAGCAACAGCAGCAAGAGCAGCTGCAGCAACAACAACAACAGCAGCAACAGCAGCAGCAGCACCAACCACTGCAGCACCAGCAGTACCAACAGCAGGAACATCAGCAGCAGCTGCAGCAACAGCGGCATCAGCAGCAGCAGCAACAGAAGCAACAGCAACAGCAGCAGCAACGACAGCAGGGGAAGGAGGGGGCGGGTGGAGCAGAGGCGGAGCGGGGCCGGGCGGCAGTGGGGGGTGGCGAGCGCAAGGACAAGAAGGCAGCAGCCAAGCAAGGGGCGCATGCAGGGGGCGCCTCTGCAGGGGGGAAAGTGGGGTGAGTTCCCTTGCCTCACTGCTCGCTCTTTACATTCTGTCGGTGCAGGGCGGATTGTTTGCGTTCGTTATTTGTTTTTTTATCTCTTGGACGTTCTGTCGGTGCAGATCTGTGCAAGTGCCTTTGGCCTTGTCTTTCCTTTTCTTTCGTTTCCTTTTTTAAACGATGCTGTATCGGCGTCCCTTGTGCTTCCATTAAGCTAGTCGCCTCTCTCCTAGCCCTCTTCCCTCTCCTCTCTCCCCGTTCCCTCTCCCTCTCCCTGTTTCCCCTTTCCCTCTCGCCACTCCCTGTGCTGCAGTGGTGCGTCTGACACCCCTCCTGCCACGGGATCAGCACATGCTGCCAAGCCAGTCACTGCACCACCAGCAGGCTGCACGCATGCCATCTGCTCTGCTCACACACCCACCTCTCGCACCTCTCCTCCCACCTTCCCATTCACCGGACCCTGCCCCTGTTCCCCGTCCCCTGTCCCTTTCCCTCTCCCTCTTCCCTCCCTCTCGCCACTCCCTGTGCTGCAGGGGAGCGTCTGACACCCCTGCTGCCACGGGATCAGCACATGCTGCTAAGCCCGTCACAGCACCACCAGCAGGCATGCCCGCCCACTCACACACCCAACCACCTCTCGTGACTCTCCTCCCCCTTTCCCCCGCACTCTGCCTCTTTTTTTTTTTTTTTTTTACAGGACAACAGCCTTTGTTACCCTCCCACTCTTCGCGACCCTCTCTTTTTTCGTCTTCAGATTAAACCAGCTTAACCATGCCTTGACATGCCATGCATTGCGCTTCCCTTGCGCACTCTTTTCTGCTATGCCATATGCCATATGGCATCATCACCAATCACCCACGGCCATCACACCTTCCCACGGCCATCACACCTCTCACCCCTTACGGCCATCTTGAACCTCACCTTCCCCCAGCAGGCAAGCCAGCAGCGCCGAAGAAGAAGGCGAGTGCGTCGCGGCGCAGCACCTTCGACTTCATTCTCAAACAGTGCAAGCCGCTGCGCAAGGACCAGCAGCCGCCAGGTGCGCATGTGTTATTGCCAGGGGGATAGCAGCGCCCAGGTGGGGATAGCAGCGCCCAGGTGGGGATAGCAGCGCCCAGGTGGGGATAGCAGCGCCCAGGTTGGGATAGCAGCGCCCAGGTGGGGATAGCAGCGCCCAGGTGGGGATAGCAGCGCCCAGGTTGGGATAGCAGCGCCCAGGTGGGGATAGCAGCGCCCAGGTGGGGATAGCAGCGCCCAGGTTGGGATAGCAGCGCCCAGGTGGGGATAGCAGCGCCCAGGTTGGGATAGCAGCGCCCAGGTTGGGATAGCAGCGCCCAGGTTGGGATAGCCAACGTGCTTGTAGCTCATGGGCTTCTTGCCACTCACTGTAACAATCACGGAGCAACTTTATGGAATTATGAAGGCAATGAGAGCATGGATGGTACGTGTGGCCCACGAGGAGTGCATTTTTCCAGCAATCTTGGTGGGAACCGGCCAGACATTGCAGCAGCAGAGGGTTAAAGCGACCAGACGGGGAAATTTTATTTTACCCTCCACTCCGTTCTCCACCCTCTCTCTTCCACTCCACACCTTCCCTCCCTCCTGCATCCTCCCCCTTCCCTCTCCCCCCATCCCCCACCCTCTCTCCTTCCATCATTCACCCCTCTCTGCTCCACCCTCTACCCTCTTCCCTTCTCCACCAACCCCTCCCTTCCCCCCCCTTACAGCCCCCACCCCACTCCCGCTAGCGACAGGAATGCAGCATGCGCGGCACGAGGCGAGGCTGAGGGGCGTGCTGGGGGCGCTCTTCTGGGAGGCCAGCTCACGCGCCATCACCAACCAGAGCACCCCCTCCCCCTCCCCCGCCGCCCTCCCCCTCTCCTCCCACCCCACGCCCTCACCCTCGTCCCTCCCCCCTACCCCCTCCTCCACTGCCCCGACTCTCCCCGCCTCCTCCCTCTCCTTCTTTCCTGCCACTGCTGCCCACTCCGGTCTCGCCTCTCAGCCGTCGTCTCTGTCGCAGAGTGCCGTGCCCCTTGCCCCGCCCTCCTCCTCCTTGCTTGACCCCCTCTCGTTGCATAAGTTCTCCGAGATTTCGGGCTCAGGCTTGGGGCTGCAAGGCTTCCAGACATTGCAGGGAGGCTTGGGAGCGTCTGGTTTGGCAGGAGGGGGAGGGGGAGGGGGAGGGGGGGGCAGTGGGGGGGGGAGGATGAGGGGAATGGCAGGGGGAGGCATGGGTGGGGGTTCTGGGGGAGGAGGGGAAGGGGAAGGGGGTGTGGGGGGAGCAGCAGGGGCGGGTATGGGCGGGATGGGCGGATTTGGGGGTGCGTTCAACGCGAGTGGAGGTGGGGTGAACTCAGGAACGGCAGGAGGCAGGGGGGTGGGTGGGATGGGGGCAACGGGTGGTGTTGGAGGGATGGGAGGAGGTATGGGAGGGAATTTGGGTAGTCTAGGCATGAATATGAGCATGGGTATGGGTATGAATATGGGCATGGGCATGGGTATGGGAGCAGGCAGTCGTGTGGATACATCATTCTCTTCGCCCCCTGCCTCTGCATCGAATGCGCTCTCCCAGTTCTCCTCCCCTTCTGCTGCTGCGCTGCCTGCTGCTATGGCTGCAACAACCACCGCTATGGGTGCGGGTATGGGTGCAGGGATGAGTGCAGGCATGTCTTTTGACTCGACTCAAAAGGGCATGGGTGCGGGCATGGTTTTGGCCATGGGTTCAAATATGGGTGCTGGCATGGCAGCAGGCATGGGTAGTGGTGTGGGCAGTGCAGGTGGTGCGGGTGGTGGTGGTGGCAGTGGTGGCGGTGGTGGCATGTCATCGTGGCAGGCACAGCCGCAGGGGCAAGGGCAGCTGCAGGGGCTGAGACAGGGACAGCAGGGGCAGGGGCAGCAGGGGCAGGGGCAGTTGCAAGGGCAGGGGCAGCAAGGGCAGGGGCAGAAGGGACAGTTGCAAGGGCAGGGACAAGAGCAAGGAGGGCAGGAGTTTCACGGGCAGGCAGGGCAAGGCACAGTGCTGCAGGGGGTGGGGGGAGAAGGGGACTTGCAAGGGCGATCGGCGGTGCAAGGGGGAACGGGCGTGCAACCGGGTGTGCAAGGGGGAGTGCAAGGGGGAGTGGGGCAGAAGGAGCCGAGCAACAGCAAGGGCGCCACTGCTGCCATTGGTGCAGTGGGCACTGCTGCTGCTGCCACCTCCTCTCCCGCCCCTGCTGTTCCTGCTGCTGCTCCTCCTCAGGTGCGAAAAGAGGGAGTTGAGGTGAGGATGCTAGGAGCTTGACTTACCTCTCAAAGAGTGCTTTCTGGCTTTGGTATGCTTTCACTTCACATCATCAAGTATTTCATGCCATTTCAAATCATGTCTCTCTCTGCTGTTACTTTCCATCCCATTCCTCAGAAGCCCAAGTCTCGCCCAAAAAAAGCATCAGCTGCAGCGGCGGCGGCAGCAGCAGCAGCAGCGGCAGCAGGAGCAGCAGGAGCAGCAGGAGCAGGAGGAGCAGCAGAAGCAGCTGCGGCTCAGAAGCCCAAGCCCAAGTCAAAGCCAAAGGTCTCTGCCAAAGCCAGAGCCGCCGCCGCTGCCGCCGCCGCTGCTGCCGCTGCTGCAAACGCTTCTTCTGCTGGTGGGGCAGCTCCGGGTGGCTCCGCTGCTGCTTCTGCTGGGGCTGACGGTGAGGGCACTCCTGCTGCCGCCACTGCTACTGCGAGTGGTGCCACAGCAGGGGGTGCGAGGAGCAGTGCAGGCGGCAGCGAGGGTGAGGCGGCAGGGAAGGCGATGAAGGGCCTTCCAAGCCCGCGAGGCGTGGGCGAGAAGCAGAGCAGCCTGCGAGATGGGGTTCAGGGGCAGCAGCAGACGGTGCACTCGCCTCAGCAGCTGGCTCAGCTGGCCGCGCACCTGCAGTCCCAGATGGGGAGTCAATCAGGGGGGGGGATGGGGGGCCCTCAGGGCATTCAGCATAGCGGGCAGAATCAGGTTCGGCAGAAGCTGCAGCAGCAGCAAATGCAGCAGCAACAGCAGCAGCAGTTGAAGCAGCAACAGCAGCAGCAAATGCAGCAGCATCAGCAGCACTTGCAGCGGCAGCAGGGCATGCGGCAAGGCCAGGGGCAAGGGCAGCAGCAGCAGATGCACATGCAGCAGCAGCAGCAGCAGATGCAGCAAATGCAGGGGCTTTCCTCCCCTCCACACAGCAGCCCGCCAGCACCGATGAATCAAAGGCACATGTTCCAGCAGCCACACCAGCTGCAGCAGCAGCAAGGGGGGGTAGGGGGAGGCGGAAGGGCGATGGGGGGTGCAGGCGGGGCGGGGGGGCAGCTGCAGGCGCCTGGGGAGATGCTTGTGCAGCAGCAGCGGCAGCAGCTGGCAGGACCCATGGGGCAGGAGGGGCGAGGGATGGACCGAGGCACAGGGCAGCAGGGGCAGGCGCAGGGGCAGGGGCAGGGGCAGGGGCAGGGGCAGGGGCAGGGGATGGCAGGAATGGGGGGAATGGGAGGAATGGGAGGAATGGGAGGAATGGGAATGGGCAACATGGGAGGGATGGGAGGGATGGGGGGCATGGGGGCGATGGGAGGTGCAGTGCAGGGAATGGGAGCAGCCACTGCTGGTGGGGGGAGAGCGGGTTCTTTCCAAGGTGAGCCCACGACCCCTCGCACTCCTGATTTGATTTTTGGGTTGATTTGATTGTTCTCTGTCCTATGCCTCCACAGAGCGGTCCGCCCTTTAAGCTCTCGGACCTATGCCCTTTACCCTAACCCGCACAGTATGAGCCGTGATTGCTTCGAGGCTGCACCGTGCGTCGATGGTCGCCATTCTGTAGAGGCGTTTCTCTCACAACTGCTCGTCGGCCTCTGCTCTCTGCTCTTTGCTCTTGCTCTCTGCTCCTTCCTCTCTGCTCTCTGCTCTCTGCTCTCTGCTCTCTGCTCTCTGCTCTCTGCTCTTTGCTCTTGCTCTCTGCTCCTTCCTCTCTGCTCTCTGCTCTCTGCTCTCTGCTCTCTGCTCTCTGCTCTCTGCTCTCTGCTCTTTGCTCTTGCTCTCTGCTCCTTTCTCTCTGCTCTCTGCTCTCTGCTGTCTGCTCTCTGCTCTTTGCTCTCTGCTCTCTGCTCCTTTCTCTCTGCTCTCTGCTCTCTGCTCTTTTCTCTCTGCTCTCTGCTCTCTGCTCTTTTCTCTCTGCTCTCTGCTCTTTTCGCTCTGCTCTCTCCTGCCTTTTCTCTGTTCGCTGTGCATCCTTTCTTCACCCAAATGCCAGGCCAAGGACCAATGGCATCGTCTCAAATGCCCACCCACATGAGGGGCTTGCCACCACATGCCATGCAGCAGCAGCCGCAGCAGCAGCAGCAATACAGTCAGCAGCACCAGGAGCAGCAGCAGCTGCAGCAGCAGTGGGCATCTGGCCAGCCAGGGGGTGCGGGGCGGGCAGGTGGAGCCGGGGGGATGCAGCAGCAGCAGCAGCAACAGGCGGGACAAGGCCAAGGGCAAGCAGCGGGGCGGAGTGGGTCAGGAGGGGCAGGCATGGATGAGCCCTTCCCTGCAGACCACCCCTCGCAGCGCATGGGCATGCAACAGCATGCGCCCTTCCATGCCCCCTCCCACATGCCCTCTGCTGCTGCTTCCGGTCAAGGCATGGGCATGGGCATGGGAGGAGCAGCGGGCATGGGCATGGGGGGAGCAGCGGGCATGGGCATGGGGGGAGGGTCGTCACTGCTGGCGGGGATCCCAGACTCATCTCTCGTGTCGTCCTTTGGGGGCATGGGTGGGGCAGGGGGGGGGATGAGGGGCATGGAGGGCATGGGAGCGATGGGGGGAGCGGGAGGGGGTGTGGGGGGTGGTGATGGGGTTGGAGGGGCAGGTGGGCGTGGTGGTGGTGCTGGCGGTGGTGCTGCAGGATTGGATGAGGCAGCTATGTTTGCAGGAGAGGATGATTATGGGGATTTGCCTTGATTGATATTCATTGGTGGATTAGGGGGTTGCTGAACTGAACTGCTGCCCCCAAAGTCGATTGAAGCATGCCCTGATTGTTGGAAACAATTGATTTAAGCGCCTCTGTCGTGTCGAAACACTAAGACATAAGCGAAGCAGAACATATCGAAGCATCGGCGAGTCAACTCTCGGAGGTTGAGCAACCGTTGGAGGTTACGCGAAAGTCAAAGGCCAGCGACCTTTGACCTGACAAGTACAGTACGACAGCAAGGACAAACAACTGACTCGTTAGTGAGCAGTTGCCCGAGTCGTCACTGTATCGAACCGCAACAGCAACAGCAAAACAGTTATTAGCTATAACCTTTCATATTCCCTTGTACTCTTATAAAAGGCTTGTATCTCTTTGTTTTAATTAATCGACTTTGCCCTCACATACCAGCGCAAGGTGGTTCACAGACTTATCATTAAACGCTTCCGCTATTACACTGTTCTAATCTGAGTTTAGTCCTGCAAAGATCCTAAGGGCTTTTCTCAGCCCAACATGGTATCAGAGCTATCAGGGCAAACTCAACTATTGTCAAGACACCCACAACATCAGAAGGCATGGCAATGCAAAAGGAGAGAAGCTCCTCTAACGGCTCTCCCGGTACTACTCCCACTCCACCTCCTGCCTCTGGTCTACAGACAGAGGAGGGCACAGCAACAAGGCCGGCAGCTGGGTCTACTGAAACTCCCGCAAATCAGGCCGCGGGCTTCGACCCAAGCATGATGGAGAAATTCTTCTCCTTCATGTCCTTCTACGAACAGCACCAGCAAGGAGCACCTGCGCAGTCAAACAATAGCAACAACAACAACGACGTGACGCCCATGAGCCTCGACGGGTCATCCTACGCGCGAGGAAATCAACAGCAGCAGCAGCCTACCTTTGCTCCGTACGAGCCCCAGCGCGGTCCTGTCAGCTTTATGCCGCGCCAGCAGACTTCACCTGAGCAAGAAAGGACATTGGACGCACTTCAAGTTCAGTCGCAGTTTGCGCACGTCCTGAAACTGCAGACATCAAGACCGTTCGACGGAAAGGACTTCTTTACCTGGTCATTCGAATTCGAGCTAATAATGGAAGGCGCGCAGATTCTTGGCTTCTTCGACGGGTCCCTGCCATACCCAACACACGGGACACAATATGACAAGCAGCAGTACACCTATCAGTCCATGATGGCGTACACAATTCTACTGCGCAACGTCACGCCAACCCAACAGCAGAACATCCGGTCTTATCGGGGATACGGGAACTCTGCCGAGCTTGCGTACAACCACCTGAAGAACCTGTATCAGGCAACAGACAGCGTCAACCAGAGTCGGTTAATGGCACAACTGACAACAGTGGAAATGAAACCGGGCGAAAAGGGGATGGCGTATATCAGTCGCTGCCGCGAATTACGCGACAAACTCCTTCGGTGTGGAGGATCGATATCAGAAGACGCCTTCGTCACAGTTGTTATAGGCGGTCTTGGTCCACACTGGCGCTCCACTCGCGCCATACTTCGAGCTCACGGGAAGATCTCCGAAGCAGCACTCTGCGCCGAAATTCACGCCGAGCAGCAAGACATGGACATGCAAGAGGAGCGGCACAAGAAGAAAACGTCAGTTTCCGAATTTGCGTTTCACACTCAACGACGCTACAACAACAACAAGAACCGGCATCAATCAAAACTCGTACCTCCGTTTTGTCATCTCTGCAAGACTTCAGGACACCCTCGCACACACTGCCCGAATCGACAGCAGTCAACACCGCCGCAGCGCCAGCTTCGTCCTTTGAGCAGTCAAGTAGCGTCCACGCAAGCGAACCCCACTAGTCAACTACAGTCCTCAACGACATCGCCGTCAACACAATCTGCACAAGGAGCAAGAAACATCGTCAGCTGCATGGCAAGATTGTCAGACTCCTGCATCACTGAATCACCACCGTACCATTCGCCAGAAGAACAACTCGAAGAACGCACTCCTCGCCGCGAGACACTGGAGCCGAATCCGACATACGCAGCTATCGCCCAGAGTGAACCGTCCGGGAAAGACACCTGGTTCTTGGACAGTTGCTACGGGCAGCATATGTGCTCTTCGGGTCGCTTCGTTCAACGCGAACACCAACTTCAACGCGAAGTCGTCATCACCGTCGCCAACAACCAGAACCTGCGCACACGACGACAAGGAGTGGTGCAACTTCAGTCACGAGAGACAAACGTAATACTGCAAATGTCAAAAGTACTAATTGCGGAGGGGCTCGGTTACAACCTACTGAGCGTCAGCCAGCTGATGACGAAAGGCATTCATCTCGAAGCTGATAGCACCACTCAGGAGTTCAAGCTGTACCACGGGAAAGGCGGACTTTACATCGGGAAGGCGGTCCTGAAGAATAACGTCTTTGTCCTCGACTTCGTTCCAGATTTAGGCACCGCCGACAGTGACGGAATCGTCACCTTCACCTCCTGGACACACCCACCGGATCTTGATCCTAACTTCAGCCCCGAAGGCTTCTGGTATTCGCACACCATTCCTGAGGCAGAACGAACAAGAGCATTAGCAACGATTCAATACTCGGCAGCAGCAGAGACAACATCGGCAGCAGCAGAGACAACATCGGCAGCAGCAGAGACAACATCGGCAGCAGCAGAGACAACATCGGCAGCAGCAGAGACAACATCGGCAGCAGCAGAGACAACATCGACAGCAGCAGAGACAACACCAGCAGCAGCAGAGACAACATCGACACCAATCGTGGGTCCTTCAACCGCACCAGCCCCAATCGACGACGACACACCACCGACCCCTGCGCAGCAACTAAACCCGATACCACGTGAAGTTCATCGAAGCGCAAATTTCACTGCAGGCTTCTACTCCAACTCCGAATTATACAGACGCTCACCCGGACATCGCGCCGACGAAGATCTCTGGCACAAACGAATGGGACATCCGAGCAACACGACGTTAAACAATACGATACGAGCAGGCGTTCTTGACAAAGACTCACTACTCTTACCCGACGGGAGAGAGCTACGACGAATGAGAGGAAACTGCTTCACCTGCCCAGAAGCTGACTTACCGCATCAGCCCTTCGTTTCTCACCACAATCCGAGCGCACCAGCTTACGCACCACTTGAGAAAGTGTACAGCGACATCCTGTACAACCGCGAACCTGGACAAGGAGCATACAATTACACCATCACGTTCATCGACGCCGCCACTCGTTATGTCTGGCATCTCAACCTTCCAAGCCGCGACATGGCCTTCGAAGCCTTCGTAGCCTGGCTCCCAGTAGCAGGACGGGAGTCGGGAGTTAAGCTGAAGAGTTTTCAGTCCGACGGGGGAGGAGAATACACCTCACAGAGGTTCAAGCAGTAGGTGGCAGAGAGAGGAATCAAGCGACTCATCTCCCTTCCCTACGCCCATCAACAGCAGGGTGTAGCAGAAAGAATGAACAGGACCCTTCAGAACACCATGCGCAAGCTGCTACGTGGCATGCGGCTACCCAACCACCAGTGGCCCGAGGCAATGGACCACGCAGTAATGCTGCACAACTTGCTCTCGTCATCATCGCTCCCGAACAACGCATCACCGCATCTGCTGTGGACAGGAAAACTGGGCAGCACAAAAATGTTGCGAAATTTTGGCTGCATGGTACAGTACCGACCCCCAGCTGCACGCGCTGGCCGATTCTCCCAACGCGCACAGTGGGGACTACACCTGGGCATCGAAAAGAACTACAACGCGTGGAAGATTTTCGACGTCCACTCAAAGGAAACAGTAGCAGCACGTGATGTCATTTTCTACGAGAGACTCACCCTTTCAACGTACCTGTACAACTTGGACACTTCACGCGATGTCACAGGCGGATTTCGTGGGGACCGAGCCTTCGCTTCGGCAGAAGATGAAGCTGACTGGGACGAGCAGAACGTGGAAGGAGCCTCGGAGGAAGCCGGACCTCTTCCCTACTGCTCGGTTGATGTCCCAATGGACGACGAAAATCCACGCGACAGCATCAACGCCGAAGTCTACTACCACTTCGCCGACAACGGTTACGTTACACCTGCACAGGTCAACACCGCCGAAGCAGAACGCGTAGGACCAAATTTCAATCCTACACCAGAAGCGGGAGATGAAACAGTCTATCCCGAGGACACAACACTCCCCCGCTACACACAGAGTGGACTCCAGATACTCGGCCTCGTCACCGCGGTTCACGGCACAGCCATTCCTAAGGAGCCTGCCACAGTTCAGCAGGCTCTGGGGGGGGAGCACAGGGAAAAATGGCGCGAAGCCATGGACAAGGAGCTGAAAGCACTGGAAGAACGGAACACCTGGAAAGTTGTTCCCATCGGCGTGGCACGAAACAAGACAGTACTCACCGGGAAATGGGTCTTCCGTGTGAAGACAAAGGCAGACGGCACCATCGACAAGTTTAAAGCGCGCTGGGTCGTACGCGGCTTCGACCAAGAACACGGACGCGACTTCACCGAAACATTTGCGCCGGTCAGCCGACACACCTCGCTGCGAATTCTCCTCGCGATCGCCGCCATGAAGAAGAAGAAATTGCGGCAAATTGATGTCGCCAACGCATTTCTCTACGCACCTGTTGACGCAGAAATCTTCGTCGAACTACCACATGGCTCTAACGGAGAACCTAACCAAAACTGTCAGTTGCTGAAGTCGCTCTACGGCATCAAACAAGCTCCGAGGCTGTGGCAACGGTACCTGCACGCAAGACTTATCCGCATAGGATTCCGCCAGCTACCTCACGACCAGGGCATGTACCGGCTTACAAAAGGCACCGACTACATTCTACTAATCGTCTACGTAGACGATCTGCTCTATATCGGGTCAACCGACGGCGTCACTACCTGGTTCGAAGGGGAGCTACAGAAGGATCTCACGCTCACAGTCTCGTCCACCGTCACGCAATACCTCGGCCTCAACATTCAGGAAGAAGAGAACGCAATCTACCTCAGCGCCGCAAAAATACGCCGACACCATCGCCAAACGCTTCGCACTCACGCCGACCACCATCTCCACGCCATACCGCTATACGGTAGGAAATAACAAGGAAGGATCCGCTCCACTAAAGCCCGCCGGCATACGCGACTACCAGAGAAAACTGGGATGCCTCCTCTTCGCAGCTGTCAGCTGCCGTCCGGACCTATCGTACTCCGCAAGTCAGCTCGCGACCTACCTCAAGAAACCTGAAGCATAACACATGGCGGAACTCGACCGCGCTCTCCACTACCTCGTCAGCACCTCAACCGTCGGCCTAACCTACCACAAGAACGGGACTACGACACCTAAATTAATCGGCTACGTCGACGCAGATCACGCCGGCGACTCCGACAACAGGCGCTCGCGCACCGGTTACATCTACCGCCTTGAACCTATCGGGCCCATCTCTTGGCAGTCGAGCAAGCAGGAACTAATTGCTCTCTCCTTAGCTGAAGCAGAATATATTGCTCTTTGCTCAGCCACCAAGGAAGGACTTTACCTTCGCGAACTACTGGAAGAGGCGAAACTGGCCCAGTTACCCAGCTTCTCCCTGTTCTGCGACAACCAGTCTGCAATCCGCATAGCCAACAAGAATGGATTTGCGAACAGGTTGAAGCATATCGCTTTGCGATATTTCTTCGTCAAGGACGAGATCGAGAAGGGGAGACTTGAGCTGTCTTACTGTCCCACGTCCGAGATGGCAGCTGATTACTTGACCAAGAAGCTCGGAAAGCAGAAGTTCGAGTACTGCATGCTGCTGACTGGACAGAGCCACGTCACCAGCAGCGACACTCCAGAAGCGAAGGGGAGTGTTGGAAACAATTGATTTAAGCGCCTCTGTCGTGTCGAAACACTAAGACATAAGCGAAGCATAACATATCGAAGCATCGGCGAGTCAACTCTCGGAGGTTGAGCAACCGCTGGAGGTTACGCGAAAGTCAAAGGTCAGCGACCTTTGACCTGACAAGTACAGTACGACAGCAAGGACAAACAACTGACTCGTTAGTGAGCAGTTGCCCGAGTCGTCACTGTATCGAACCGCAACAGCAACAGCAAAACAGTTATTAGCTATAACCTTTCATATTCCCTTGTACTCTTATAAAAGGCTTGTATCTCTTTGTTTTAATTAATCGACTTTGCCCTCACATACCAGCGCAAGGTGGTTCACAGACTTATCATTAAACGCTTCCGCTATTACACTGTTCTAATCTGAGTTTAGTCCTGCAAAGATCCTAAGGGCTTTTCTCAGCCCAGCACTTGATTACGTTTGCTAAGGGCTGCTGTTTTTCGTGCAACTCTGGAAACAGTGAGAGGTCTAAAGAGGTGATTTGAGTGCATTCAAAAATGGCAGAACATGAGAGGTGATGAATGCCCGCCCCATAATCGTTAGGGTTGTGAAAAGTATACTTCCAAGTAAAGGGCCGTTCATAGTGTTGTACTTGGTGTATGAAAATCTGCTTGCGTATTAGTTTTTTGTTCCTTTGTTTCAATGCGATAATCGAGCTGCGAGATTGGAGACCAACTATCGTAACAAGGATAATCTAGCCCCATTTTCCAGGAGCGCTCGTACGACCTTGGAGTGCTGCTGCTGTGCCTGCTCCATAGGCACCTTAGTCACAACCTCACACGAGGGCCTTTTCTCTGCGGGATACCTCCGTCTTCCGCCCCCTTCCGTTCCCTGTTCCGCCCCCCTATCCGTTCCTCCTGCGCGCCCAACCATGTCCGCCGCAGTGTCGGTGGCTCTCCGCGTATCGCCCGCCATTCCTGGCCCGACTCGCCACGTGTCACTCGATCTCACCCATTCCGCAAACTCCGCTGCACCTCTCATCGGCACTACTGCTGGTAGCGCACGCGCCATTTCTCGCACGACGCGTCGCACCGTCGCACGGCGTTCACTCCTTCACGTACTACGGTCGCCGTCCTCGCAGGCATCTGTTTCTCCTTCTCATACTCGCGAAAGTTCCGAAAAGTTTGATCGTATGGGGTGCCCACTCCATTCGCTTAGAGCCTTGAAATTGGTGGGCACCAGAATCGCGGCGCGGGTTTCATCCCCGTTATTGCATCGCTCGTTTGCCGCCCTGTCGCCATCGGCGCGTGCGTCGTCACAGTCGTGGGACGGGCTGAGCCAACCCGTGAGTGAAGCGCGTCGAGCCAACTCGTCTTCCTGAATGGGATGCCCCCACCCTCCAAATTCCACATCCCTTAGTTCTTCTTCTCTTTTCCACTCCTCTCCCACTCTTCCTCCTCTCCTCTCCTTACCCGCTTCTTCCCCTTTGCCTGTCACCATCGAGTCTTCCCCCCCCCTTCCCCCTCTTTCTCTCCCCCCTTTCCCCTGCCCCAACCCCCGCCGGCAGACAGGCGAGTGGCAGAGCACGCTGAAAGCACCGGTGACGGTGTCGGGCGTGGGGCTGCATCTGGGCCTTCCCACCACCGTCACGCTGCTGCCCGCCCCTGCTGCCTCGGGACGGGTGTTCCACGTGGTGCATGGGGGGGATGGCGGAGGGGGGGAGGGGGATGGCGGAGGCGGGGGAGAGGGAGGCAGGGTTGCAGGAGCAGGAAGGAAAGGGGGAGTGGTGGAGATTGATGCAGATGTGTGGAGTGTGGTGGACACGCGCCTCTCCACTGTGCTGGCTGCTGCTGCTGCTGCTCCGTCCGGCTCCCCCTCCTCTCACGAGGAGTCGCCAGCGGGTGGGGGAAGTGAGCACGGTGAAGTGCGGTTGGGAACGGTGGAGCATTTGCTGTCGGCTTTGGAGGGATTTGGTGTGGACAACTGCGTGATTCGCGTGGAGGGCGCCGGCGAGGTGAGATGAGGTGAGGTGAGGTGAGGTGAGGTGAGGTGAGATAAGGTGAGGGCAGGGCGGGTGAGTAGCATGGGCAGGGTGAAAGCTACAAGGGCGGGTTAGAGTGGCGCACCTGCTGTGAGCACCTGCATTGTACTGCAATGATTTTCGGTGCGAGGTCTCGAATCCACCTTCACAACTTTCAGACAAATGTGGAAACTGCCTACAAAAATGGAATAAAACAAAGACATTTGTTCAGCTATACAGAACCCCGCTTTTTCCTGCCCTCAGATGCCACTGCTGGACGGATCAGCAGCAGAGTGGGTGCGACACATCATGGCGGCCGGCATCCACCCCGCCACCCTGCCCTGCGCCAACAGCACCACGGGCGATGCTGCTGCTAGTGACGGTACCAGTGGTGCTAGCAGTGGTGCTGCTAGTGGTGCTGCCAGTGGTGCTGCCAGTGGTGCTGCTAGTGGTGCTGCCAGTGGTGCTGCTAGTGGTGCTGCCAGTGGTGCTGCTAGTGGTGCTGCCAGTGGTGCTGTGACTGTGGAGAGGAGAAGGTGGAACTTGCCTGGAACCCGGCCAATCACGGTGCAGCATGGGGATTCCTTCATCGCTGCATTCCCCAGGGCCTCTCCGCTTCTCACCTACGGCATTGATTTCCCACATGTGAGGTGTTTGACTTGTCGCATGGTGTTAAGTTTCATATGTGAGGCATTGAGTCACATGTGAGGCGCTGACTTGTCACATGTGAGGCGTTGACTTGTCACATGTGAGGCGTTGACTTGTCACATGTGAGGCGTTGACTTGTCACATGTGAGGCGTTGACTTGCCACATGTGAGGTGTTTGACTTGCCACACCACATCACTCGCGCATGCTGGAGTTTCCATCCCCATTTCGATACGGTTTTGAGCTTGGTTGTTTCCCTGCACAAACGTCCCCAGTTCTCCTTCTCCGTTCTTTGGGCTGTGTGTACCTCTAAAGGCACGGCAATCCGTCCGTGCCTCTTACACTATACCCCGCCCTTGGACAACATTAGTTGCAATTACCACCCCCTCTCACTTGACACTCGTTGGTGTACCTTGAGGTTTTTGCTAGTGACCCCATTGATTCGAATCGTCTGCTGACCTAGTTAAGAATAATTTTCAGCACTGTGCATTGTCCCCGTTGACCCTCTCAACTCCCTGCACGCTCACAGGTGCCGGCCATCGGGCGGCAGTGGGTGTCGTGGGAGCCGTGCCGCTCACAGCAGCCAGCGCAACCGCGGGCAGCAGAGCAACACCGGGGCGCAGGAGAGGAACCAGGTGGAGCAGCAGAGCGGCCATCGGGGGCAGCAGCGCAGGGGGGGCATGGGGAGCATGGGGAGCAGGGTGGGGAGTGTGGCGACTATGTGTCGGGCATTGCCCCTGCCCGTACCTTCTGCATCCTTGAACAGGTAGGTACAGAGTGGCTTCGACGCTTCAGAGAGGCTTCGAACAGGTACAGAGAGGAGAGCAACGCCAAAGAGCTTGCTCTCTAGACTGCTGGGCTTATCAGGGACATCAGCAGTGTATACCATACCACTTTTGAGGCGCCTCAAAAGACATCAGCAGTGTCTACCATACCAGCGAGAGGAAGGGAAAGTCGTTATTACGTTCGGTATTTATTAGCTCGTTAAAATCGCTCCCTCTGAATAATGCTGCTCGTCGCCCCACCTGCGTCCTCCTGCACCTTCCTGCCCCCGTCGCCGCAGGTGGAGCAGATGCGAGCAGCGGGGCTCATCAGGGGTGGCTCGCTCGACAATGCCCTCGTGTGCAGGTGAGACAATGCCCTCGTGTGCAGGTGAGACAATGCCCTCGTGTGCAGGTGAGACAATGCCCTCGTGTGCAGGTGAGACAATGCCCTCGTGTGCAGGTGAGACAATGCCCTCGTGTGCAGGTGAGACAATGCCCTCGTGTGCAGGTGAGACAATGCCCTCGTGTGCAGGTGAGACAATGCCCTCGTGTGCAGGTGAGACAATGCCCTCGTGTGCAGGTGAGACAATGCCCTCGTGTGCAGGTGAGACAATGCCCTCGTGTGCAGGTGAGACAATGCCCTCGTGTGCAGGTGAGACAATGCCCTCGTGTGCAGGTGAGACAATGCCCTCGTGTGCAGGTGAGACAATGCCCTCGTGTGCAGGTGAGACAATGCCCTCGTGTGCAGGTGAGACAATGCCCTCGTGTGCAGGTGAGACAATGCCCTCGTGTGCAGGTGAGACAATGCCCTCAGTGTGCAGGTGAGACAATGCCCTCGTGTGCAGGTGAGACAATGCCCTCGTGTGCAGGTGAGACAATGCCCTCGTGTGCAGGTGAGACAATGCCCTCGTGTGCAGGTGAGACAATGCCCTCGTGTGCAGGTGAGACAATGCCCTCGTGTGCAGGTGAGACAATGCCCTCGTGTGCAGGTGAGACAATGCCCTCGTGTGCAGGTGAGACAATGCCCTCGTGTGCAGGTGAGACAATGCCCTCGTGTGCAGGTGAGACAATGCCCTCGTGTGCAGGTGAGACAATGCCCTCGTGTGCAGGTGAGACAATGCCCTCGTGTGCAGGTGAGACAATGCCCTCGTGTGCAGGTGAGACAATGCCCTCGTGTGCAGGTGAGACAATGCCCTCGTGTGCAGGTGAGACAATGCCCTCGTGTGCAGGTGAGACAATGCCCTCGTGTGCAGGTGAGACAATGCCCTCGTGTGCAGGTGAGACAATGCCCTCGTGTGCAGGTGAGACAATGCCCTCGTGTGCAGGTGAGACAATGCCCTCGTGTGCAGGTGAGACAATGCCCTCGTGTGCAGGTGAGACAATGCCCTCGTGTGCAGGTGAGACAATGCCCTCGTGTGCAGGTGAGACAATGCCCTCGTGTGCAGGTGAGACAATGCCCTCGTGTGCAGGTGAGACAATGCCCTCGTGTGCAGGTGAGACAATGCCCTCGTGTGCAGGTGAGACAATGCCCTCGTGTGCAGGTGAGACGATGCCCTCGTGTGCAGGTGAGACGATGCCCTCGTGTGCAGGTGAGACGATGCCCTCGTGTGCAGGTGAGACGATGCCCTCGTGTGCAGGTGAGACGATGCCCTCGTGTGCAGGTGAGACAATGCCCTCGTGTGCAGGTGAGACAATGCCCTCGTGTGCAGGTGAGACAATGCCCTCGTGTGCAGGTGAGACAATGCCCTCGTGTGCAGGTGAGACAATGCCCTCGTGTGCAGGTGAGACAATGCCCTCGTGTGCAGGTGAGACAATGCCCTCGTGTGCAGGTGAGACAATGCCCTCGTGTGCAGGTGAGACAATGCCCTCGTGTGCAGGTGAGACAATGCCCTCGTGTGCAGGTGAGACAATGCCCTCGTGTGCAGGTGAGACAATGCCCTCGTGTGCAGGTGAGCCGTGTGCAGGTCAGCCTGGGGGCGGCTGCCTGCCTTGAGCTCGGCAGGTGCATGTGACGCAGTGGCATGAAGGTTGCAGGAGCAGTGAGCTCTACAAGCCATGGCATGGGCCATGCAGGTAGGTCCTTGTGGCTGGCATGTGCCATGCAGGTAGGTCCTTGTGGCTGGCATGGGCCATGCAGGTAGGTCCTTGTGGCTGGCATGGGCCATGCAGGTAGGTCCTTGTGGCTGGCATGGGCCATGCAGGTAGGTCCTTGTGGCTGGCATGGGCCATGCAGGTAGGTCCTTGTGGCTGGCATGGGCCATGCAGGTAGGTCCTTGTGGCTGGCATGGGCCATGCAGGTAGGTCCTTGTGGCTGGCATGGGCCATGCAGGTAGGTCCTTGTGGCTGGCATGGGCCATGCAGGTAGGTCCTTGTGGCTGGCATGGGCCATGCAGGTAGGTCCTTGTGGCTGGCATGGGCCATGCAGGTAGGTCCTTGTGGCTGGCATGGGCCATGCAGGTAGGTCCTTGTGGCTGGCATGGCGCACCTTTCAGTACTCACCGGGTTGGGCAAGTCCCCTCCCCTCTCCCCTCCCCACGTGCTCCAGATGCAACTTACCTACTTAGTCTCCTTGTTGTCCTCCCTGCCGTCCCTAGGGTTGATGGGCCTGACTCAACAGTTCATTTATTGAGCCTCCAAGCATGAGTGCCCCATGGAGAGGCCCCAACGTTCTTTCCGCCCTCACTTCCACTTTCCCTCAAAGGCCCTTCCCCTGCTCTCTCCTTCTCCCTGCAGCCAAGCGCGAGGGTGGGTGAACCCCCCATTGAGACTACCTCTGGAGCCGTGCCGGCACAAGCTGCTGGATCTTATCGGGGACCTGGCGCTCTGTGCCAGGGGAGGGAACGCCGGCATCCCCAATGCGCACATAGTGGCCTATAAAGTGAGAGCCAGGCCTTCTTTTTCTAGTCGACTCAAAAACAGACTCCCTCTGGAGCCGTGCCGGCACAAGCTGCTGGATCTCATAGGGGACCTGGCGCTGTGTGCCAGGGGGGGCAACGCCGGCATTTCCAACGCGCACATTGTGGCCTATAAAGTGAGTGCCGGGCCGGCTCTTAAGCTACTCTGAGAAATCTACGGTAAGGCAGTCTCAATGTGCATGTAGTGGCGTGTAGTGAGTGCTCGGTTTTCTCTTCAACTGACTCGTGTCTGCTCAGGTTTGTCGCTGTGGAGTGGGGATCGTTGGATCGCTCCACAGTAAAACTGGTTTCCTTATGGCGTACCTTTCCTTGGCGTTCTATTTCTGTGCGCTTCACAACCCCACTCGCTGATCTTGCCTTCGTGTCACCTCCACTCCACCCCCACAATTCGCCCTTCCACCTTCTCCGGCCAGGCGAGCCATGCGCTTCACGTGGCGTTCGGTAAAGCGCTCATGGGTGCGCTTGAGGCAGAGGCGAAGGGGCATGGAGGGGCTGTGTAGGGAGGGAGTGATGTTGGTAGATGCTACGGCGCTTTGACGGTTGCCACGCTGCAGTCGCAAACGAATCAACATGGGATAAGCTTTCAGGGAGCAAGCGCACAAAGGCTAGCGTAATACCAAGCCTCGCTTGTTCGGAGCGGATAAAGTGTGAAGTGAATGGTGGTGCAAATGAATAAAGCCTGGTGCCGCATACTCATCTTGCGAGCTCTCGCGCCTGACTGAATAATCCTCTCAATCGTAACACCCTCAAATTGAACACATTACCGTATGTAAATCAAAAGCCGATTTTTCAAAAAATAAGTGCTTTTAGTACCAAGCTCATGGTGTAGCAGATGGTGTAGGCGCCATGTTTCTGCAGCCATTTGATCACCTGGCTGAATTGTACTTTGAGACATCTCATGAACAAATTTAACTTCACAGGGCTGAAATGTATACAGTTGCTCTGAAAACAACGCACCCCTGTACAGCAAATGCTCTTCAAGCGAACGATTCTTGAACTTTTTAAGCTAGCATCCGGTTGTCACCAGCTTACCATGCGCAAGCAGCTGAACCATGCAGGGTGCAGTGCATGCTGTTGAGCTCCCACCCTAAACCCTTCTCTGCACCACCCCACTCACCCAGCGGACCATCGGTCACCTCACCACCACGCATGCTCCACCTGGCATGCACCTGCAAGCGCGGAAGCGCAAGGAGTGCCGCCTTGACGAGCCCAGCACCATCCAGCACCATCCAGCACCATCCAGCACCATCCAGCACCATCCAGCAGCATCCAGCAGCATCCAGCAGCATCCAGCAGCATCCAGCAGCATCCAGCAGCATCCAGCAGCATCCAGCAGCATCCAGCAGCATCCAGCAGCATCCAGCAGCATCCAGCAGCATCCAGCAGCATCCAGCAGCATCCAGCAGCATCCAGCAGCATCCGGAAGCATCCGGCAGCATCCAGCAGCATCCAGCAGCATCCAGCAGCATCCAGCAGCATCCAGCAGCATCCAGCAGCATCCAGCAGCATCCAGCAGCATCCGGCAGCATCCGGCAGCATCCGGCAGCATCCCGCAGCATCCAGCAGCATCCAGCAGCATCCAGCAGCATCCAGCAGCATCCAGCAGCATCCAGCAGCATCCAGCAGCATCCAGCAGCATCCAGCAGCATCCAGCAGCATCCAGCAGCATCCAGCAGCATCCAGCAGCATCCGGCAGCATCCGGCAGCATCCGGCACCATCCGGCACCATCCAGCACCATCCAGCACCATCCAGCACCATCCAGCACCATCCAGCACCATCCAGCACCATCCGGCACCATCCGGCAGCCACACCTGTAACTCTCCTGTTACGTCACACCTACCCAGATAGTTAGGTTGCTTGAGCCAAAGAAGCATCTCTCTGTGATTTCCCTGGCCTTCCTTTGCTGCCTACATGCCTTCCATGGCTTCCTTCTTTATCTCATCGTTAACAAAAACTCCCACTTCCTCTTTCACCACCACTCCCCCTTGCTCCTCTTCCTCTTTCACCACCACTCCCCCTTGCTCCTCTTTCTTCTTCACGTGCCCAGCCCCGCCCTTGCCTTCACGCTCTTGCCTCGCATGCTCATCTTGTCCACGCCCACCAGCCACCCCCTCCACGAGTGCACGCACCTGCCCCCACACGTGCTGTGCCTTCGCCTTCATGGCGTCCCCATGCGCTGTGATGGCTGCCAGCATCTGCACCCACCAGCACGCGCACATAGGGATGCGAGGGACACGAGGGATGGCGCTGGCACAGCTATGTGATGGCCATTCGATTGTGTACAGAAATTGAGGAAAAATAAGAAGAAGAAGAAAAAGAAGAAGAAGAAGAAGAAGAAGAAGAAGAAGAAGAAGAAGAAGAAGAAGAAGAAGAAGAAGAAGAAGAAGAAGAAGAAGAAGAAGAAGAAGAAGAAGAAGAAGAAGAAGAAGAAGAAGAAGAAGAAGAAAAAACATATTACAAAGAAATTGGGCGTGATTATTCTCAATACATGGCCAGGACGGGAAAGGCAGGGCTAACAGAAGTTTTCCTCACGTCCACAAGTCCTCCATCTCCTGCCGTGCATCCCAGCACCACCGCACACACCTGCCTCATGCTGGGTTGAGACATGGCATAACACACGGCTTCCCTCCACGTCCACCCCGGCTCGTCATGCACCCTCCCTTCCAGCTTGTCCCTAACCCGCGGCACCACCTTGAGAATCTCCGCCACCTGCTCCTCCACACACTCCTGCACTTCCTCCACCGCCCTCTCCACTGCGCCCATCGCCCCCCTCACCTCCTCCTCTCGCCCCTTCCCTCTCGCAACTGCTTCACTCTCCTTCTTTCCCTAATTCTCTCTGCTTCTTCCCTCCCTCATCGCACTCTCCTCTGTCGCCCGAAGCCTCTTCTTTGGCGGCTTCCCCACTCCAGCGTCCGCATCACAGCCCACTCCCTCCCCATCCTCCTCCGCCTTCACCACCTCCCCCCCTGCCATCCCTCGCGCCTCCCGCCCCACCCCTCGCGCGCATCTCTCCTCCTGTGCGCGGATCCGCCCCACTGCCGCGCGCGTGCTCCCCCGCACGTCCTCTGCAGCTGCCGCAAGGGCGTGCAAGAACTGTGCCGTGGGGAGTGGGACAGGGAAACGGAGGAAAAGAGGGCGACGAGAGGTACTAGGGTGGGGCGGGAGTGAAGGACCATGGGGGAAGAGACAAGCGGAGAGAGGCAAGAGGGGTGGGAGCGATGGGGTAGGGGATGGAAGGGGCACGAAACGGAGGGAAGCAGGCAGGAGCAAGACAGAGGGGGGACAGAGAAGGGGGGGGGGGGGGGGGGGGGGGGGGTATGGAAGGGGATTGACAGAGCAGAAGGACTTGCGGATGGGGCACGATGGGAAGAGAGGCTTGAGCACACCTGCATGGGTTTCGACAAATGCGCTTCCACTCTCTCGCGATTTCGCCTCGCTGCCCCGCGTAACGGGCTGACCACCGTCACGTGGTACCTTTCCTCAATCCACACAGCGGCTCGCCCCATCTTCCCAACTTCTTTCTCGATCTTCTCTGCCAGCTGCGCCACCACTCTCCCGGCCTCTCTCACCGCTCCCAACACATCCACTTCCCTCCTTGTTCTCGCCGCGGCAGCGTCACGCGCCACCTCCCCCAGCAGCGTTTCCTCCTCACCCGCCATCCGCCGCGCCTCTCTCTGCCTTGTCGCGCTCAGCAGCTTGTCTGCCCCGCGCCCCGCTCACCTCCACCGCTGCTCTCAGTGGCTCTCAAGATCGCTCTCGCGGTTCAAGAATCCGTGGAAGCGCGCGAAATCTGAACGGAACGGAACGCGGAAAGCCGTGACGACCCAAGAAGGTAAGCTGATGAGGTGTGACAGCCTTTTGGAGCAAGCAGTGCGAGCACTCCATTCCAATATTTTCCCCTTGGATATCCCTACCTCAATGAGGGATACCGCAAGGTTCGCGTCATCGGAAAAACAGGGGGGTTGGAGGGGTAGGTTTGTTTTCACGTGCTTGGAAGTTGCTTTCCCTATAGTTCCGACAAAGCTACGTTTCATATGCTTTCACGGTGGGCGCCTCGTCAAACCATTCCCGCCGAACACTGTGGAGGCTGCGTGGCAGCGCCTGGTTGGATTTCGATTCATACCTACGGAAATGCTGCAGTTCGCGAAGTTGAACATTTTCGTATTCATCGGCTGTTACTCGACTCCAACTTCGCCCAAACACCTTCCGACATTGCAGTTCGCTCGTTTGGCACCTTCCGGGATTCGCAACCCGATACTGAAGGAATCCAAGGATTTATAAAAAACGAATGAAAATAACAATCTTGTAATAGTACTTATACTTAACTGTTAGTTAGACTCATATGCATGTCATGTGAAGTTGTTGATGTTTCAGCATCCATCTGGCAATGTATATAACAATGTACCGTATTGGTTTATCCTGTGATTACTTGATTCTCCCAAGAATATACAGAATTAGCTGCTGTCAAACTTGAGCAACGTCGCGTGTTGTTGCAAATGTCAACAGACTAAGCTGCACTGGTCCGAACGCTCTGAATTATATGTGGTAGGTTGCTAATACTACATATATGTGCCCCACATAAAAATTAGCTGATGTGCTGATTTGCGTAGTTCATCTTGTCCGGGACCGACGATCGTCCTGATCGTACTTAGTGCTGTCTATTCATTATAACAGCTTCTTTGGAACTACAATGAGGTGCTATGAACATACCAGCAAGGTTTCAACAATAATCTTCAAGGAAAATAGTTGCTGTGCTGATTTGCGTATTTCAGCCTCTCAAGGAACGACAATCGACCTGATTGTACTTGCCGCTGTCTATTCAATACAACAGCTTTTTAGGTCTTTTTTTTTCTACCAACAGGTACATGAGGTGCTGTGAACATACCAGCCAGGTTTCATCAATAATCTCCAAGGAGAATAGCTGCTGTGCTAATTTGCGTATTTCAGCCTGTCAAGGAACGACAGTCGGCCTGATTGTACTTGGTGCTGTATATTTATTACAGCAGCTATTTTAGGTCTGTTTCTTTCTACCAACAGGTACATTGAGGTGCTATGAACATACCGGCCAGGTTTCAGCAATAATCTTCAAGGAGAATATCTGTTGTGCTAATTTGCGTATTTCAACCTGTGACGGAAAGACGATCGGCCTGATTGTACTCAGTGTTGTTTATTCGATACAACAGCTATTTTATCTCTGTTTCTTTCTACCAAAAGGTACATTGAGGTGCTATGAACATATCAGCCAGGTTTCATCAATAATCTCCAAGGAGAATAGCTGCTGTGCAAATTTGCTTATTTCAGCCTGTCAGGAAACGACGTCGGCCTGATTGTACTTAGTGCTGTTTATTCAATAGAGCGGCTATTTTATGTCTTTGTCTTTCTACCAACAGGTACATTGAGGTGCTATGAACATACCAGCCAGGTTTCAGCAATAATCTCCAAGGAGAATAGCTGCTGTGCTAATTTGCGTATTTCAGCCTCTCAGTGAACGACGATCGGCCTGATTGTACTTAGTGCTGTTTATTCAATACAACGGATGTTTTATGTCTTTTCATTTCTACCAGCAGGTACATTGAGGTGATATGAACATAACAGCCAGGTTTCAGCAATAATCTCCAAGGAGAATAGCTGTTGTGCTGATTTGCGTATTTCAACCTGTCAGGGAACGACAATCGTCCAGATTGTACTTAGTGCTGTTTATTCAACACAACGGCTATTTTAGGTCCGTGACTTTCTACCAGCAGGTATATTGAGGTGATATGAACATAACAGCCAGGTTTCAGCAATAATCTCCAAGGAGAATAGCTGTTGTGCTGATTTGCGTATTTCAACCTGTCAGGGAATGACAATCGTCCAGATTGTACTTAGTGCTGTTTAATCGATACAACATTTTTTTTAGGTATGTTTCTTTCTACCAACAGGTACATTGAGGTGATATGAACATACCAGCCAGGTTTCAGCACTAATCTCCAAGTAGAATAGGTGCTGTGCAAATTTGCGTATTTCAACCGGTCAGGCAACGACGATCGGCCTGATTGTACCTAGTGCTGTTTGATCATTACAACAGCTTTTTTAGGTCTGTTTCTTTCTACCAATAGGTACATTGAGGTGCTATGAACATACCAGCCAGGTTTCAGCACTCATCTCCAAGGAGATGTGGTGCTGTGCTAATTTGCGTATTTCAGCCGGTCAGGGAACGACGATCGGCATTGTACTTAGTGTTGTTTGATTAATACAACAGCTTTTTTGGGTCTGTTTCTTTTCACCAACAGGTACATTTAGGTGATATGAACATACCAGCCAGGCTTCAGCAATAATCTCCAAGGAGAATAGGTCCTGTGCTAATTTGCGTATTTCAGCCCATCAGGGAACGACAACCGGCCTGATTGTACTCAGTGTTGTTTGATCAATACAACAGATTTGTTGGGTCTGTTTCTTTTCACCAATAGGTACATTGAGGTGAAATGAACATACCAGCCAGGTTCCAGCACTAATCTCCAAAGATAATAGCTGCTGTGCTAATTTGCGTATTTCAGCCTGTCCCGGAACGAGGATCGGCCTGATTGTACTTAGTGTTGTTTGATCAATACAACAGTTTTTTTAGCTCTGTTTCTGTCCACCAATAGGTACATCGAGGTGATATGAACATGCCAGCCAGGTTTCAGCAAAAATCTCCAGGGAGAATAGGAGCTGTGCTAATTTGCGTATTTTAGCCTGTCACGGAACGACGATCAGCCTGACTTTACTTAGTGTTGTTTGATCAGTAAAACAGCTTTTTAAAGTCTGTTTCTTTCCACCAATAGGTACATTGAGTTGATATGAACATACCAGCCAGGTTTCAGCACTAATCTCCAAGGAGAGTAGGAGCTGTGCTAATTTCGGTATGTCAGCCTGTCACGGAACGACGATCGGCTTGACTGTACTTAGTGTTGTTTGATCAATACAACAGTTTTTTTAGCTCTGTTTATTTCCAACAATAGGTACATTGATGTGATATGAACATGCCAGCCAGGTTTCAGCAATAATCTCCAAGGAGAATAGCTGCTGTGCTAATTTGCGTTATTCAGCCTGTCAGAGAACGGCTACGAAACTGCACAATGTGTCGCATAGGCCTATCTTTGCACATTTTAATCCTTGCACTGTCTCTAAGAGAGATAACTAAATCATGCTTAGGCCCATAGGCTAGTCAGATACTTCAGCATACTGCCAATAGTTGCATATACGTCAACGCAACAAGCTGCAACATTGTACTAGATGCTTTGCGAATGACACCAAACTTGTCCAGCATGCATGCAATATTGCAAATATTTGAATGGTCAAATGTAACCTTGTTCAAGATAACAAACGAACGTAGCCTATTACTTCAACTGTGTCATGCTTTGTTTGACAGACTAGCCCAATACTTCAGCAACGCCGCCAATGTTTTTAATGCACGTTAGAAATACCAAGCTCTACTGCTCCCAACTCCCTAAAATATTTATTTCGATAAATTCATGAGTCATTAAACCCATCCAGAGTTTGTGCCTGGTTGCTGTGGTAAGATTTCAGGTTTATTTATAACCACTTGTGTAATTATATATTGGTTATGGATTGTGGGTATCGTATGTAAAGCGGGTTTGTTTCGGGACAGACTCTAACTCGACGAAGTTGTACAGTGCGGTCGTAATTCCCACAGCAGCACTGGTAAACTACCAGATTGTCGAGCTGGCAATTGCGCGGACAGCAACGCAGCGCGCAGTACAATTTGAGGAGGTCCACTTTGCAGCACAGAATTCCGCCACTCACATTTCCAGCATGATTCCAGCTTGGCTTCTCTCAGCCAATAAAATTCTCTTGTGTCGTGTGCGCCAGCACATACCTTGCCACACTTCGAGAATAACCTGCCTCAGCCAACTTATGCGATGCAATCGTGGCATGCGTGGTGGAGAAAATTCTCGTAGGAGTATTTCTTTTCGCCTGGCCGTACAGATTTGAAATGTGACTTGCGTTTTTCGAAACACAAATGCTAGGCATTTTTTTGTTCCGGGATTTTTTTTTGCCGACTTTCTTTTTGACAGTCCTCAAATATACCAACTCGAATTCATCCTCCCTTCCTCCCTTCCTCCTTTCCTCCCTCCCTCCCTCCCTCCCTCCCTCCCTCCCTCCCTCCCTCCCTCCCTCCCTCCCTACCTCCATCCCTCCCTCCCTCCCTCCCTCCCTCCCTCCCTCCCTCCCTCCCTCCCTCCCTCCCTCCCTCCCTCCCTCCCTCCCTCCCTCCCTCCCTCCCTCCCTCCCTCCCTCATTTCTCCTTCCAGGACTCGGGAGTCTTTCATTTCTCTGCTATTTCTCTAGGCATCATTTCTTTCGATCAGTCCCTCTGCCATATCTGTTACTGCTCGTAGGACGTGTCTACTCCCCTTCGCTTTCAACTCACCCGTACCTTCTCCTTCTCGCGGCTCTTACCTGGTTCCGTCGACTCCAATGCTACTGCGCTTCCTTCAGCCTGTTTTTTACTTTCCGTGGGTAGTTTCCTCGCATTTTTTTTTTCAATGCTTCAGTGTAATGCGTTTGTTTTTTTTCAATCCTTCAATCTGATCTGATGCATCGCTTCGTCCATGTCTCGCCGATTTGCAGATTGTCACTTCATTGTCTCCTTGTTCCAACCTGTGTGGCTTCTGCACAGGTCGTTCGCAAACCCGAGGGAAGGCCCGCATAGTCAGCTGCTAGGCGTCGTGGTGCGGTCAGCCCTCAGCCGCTTCCTTCTCTGCTCGTCTCTCCGGTAGGAACCCGTTCACGCTATCCACTGTAATCTGTTGAAAACCACCAATATTAAACTCGTCTCTTCGTTTTTGTTTCTTGAATGTTGTTCGCAGGTCGCTTATACTCTGTGCAAACCGACCGACGATGAGAAATGTGTCAGAATGTGATATGTCTAGCCTACAGTGGGGTACTCTATACCGAGTATAGCCCAAATTAGGGTTTCCTATATGTACTCAACTGCCTGCTAGTGAAAACCTCTCTTCTTTGTTTCATTATACTTTCCTATTTCTGACATGCTATCAGAGCGAGTACGCTCCTGGCCTGTGGGCCCACCTGCTTCCGCTGCTGTCCTGTCTGTCGCGCGCCCCGTGGCGCGCGACGTTTTTTCTTCCCGCCACGCGCTCGGTGCGCATGGCGGTTTTCTGCCCGCCACGCGCTCGGGGCGCATGGCGGTTTTCTGCCCGCCGCGCGCTCGGGGCGCGCGGCGGTTTTCTGCCCGCCGTGCGCCCCGAGGCGCGCGGCGGTTTACTGCCTCGCGCGTCACCCCGGGGACCCGCGCGTCCCCCCCGTCGACCGTCGCGTCGCCCCTGGGGACCCGCGCGCGACCCCCGCGATCCCGTCGCGTCGCCCTAGGGGCCCGCGCGCGGCCCCCGCCATACCGTCGCCCGTCGCGGCGCCCTGGGGGCCCGCGCGCCGCCCTGCCCGTCGCCCGTCGCGGCGCCCTGGGGGCCTGCGCGTCGCCCCCTCCCGTCGCCCGTCGCGGCGCCCTGGGGGCCCGCGCGTCGCCCTGCCCGTCGCAGCGCCCCAGCTGCTGCTCGCGTATCTGCCCTGCGTTGGGGGTATGGGGGTGGCGAGTATGGGGGTGGCGGGTGTGTGAGCCGTCCCCTGCTCCTCCTCCTCCTCCGTCTCCCACTGCTGCAGCTGCCGCTGAGGGGGGTGGGTGTGTGGGAGCCGAGGGAGTGGTGCTAGGGGGGTGTCGTGGAAGTGGAGCTAGGGGTGCAGCAAGGGGTGTGTGAAAGGGGGGTGGGACAGTTGGGGGAGGTTGAGCGGAGGCAGCCGTCTGTCAGAATGTTATTCTCTAGCCTGTAGTGGGGTGCTCTATAGCGAGTACAACCCATCTAGGGTTTGCTATATGTATCCTCATTGCTGCTAGTGACCCCCTTCTTCTTTTGCCTAAACTTCTCTTGCCTAGCTAGGACTTACCTAGCTATGGCTCCTAACTCTACCTACTATTTTCACATGCTATCAGAGCAGGTCGATCCCCTTGGGTCGATCCTGTGGGTGGGCTCACCACCTCACTGCTTCCGCTGCTACTGCCACTCTCTGTGTCGCACGCCCCGTGGCGTGCGACGGATTTTTCATCCCGCCGCGCGCTCGGAGCGTGCGGCGGTTTTCTGCCCGCCGTGCGCCCCGAGGCGCGCGGCGGTTTTCTGCCCGCCGTGCGCCCCGGGGCGTGCGGCGGTTCTCTGCCCGCCGTGCGCCCCGAGGCGCGCGGCGGCCTTCTGCCCCGTCGGTCCGCGCGTCGCCCCCGGGGGGCGCTTCGACGGGCGACGGGGACCAGCCCGTCGTCCCCCGTCGCCCGTCCTGGCCAGCGCGGGCTGCGCCAGCCCCGAGCGCGGCCCGTACGGGCTGCGCCCGGCCCGCGCGCGGCCCGTACGGGCTGCGCCAGGCCCGCGCGCGGCCCGTACGGGCTGCGCCAGGCCCGCGCGCGGCTCGGGCCGCCTGCGCGCGGTTCGTCGGGCTGTGCCAGGCCCGTGGGCGGCCCGTTCCTCTCTGTCCCTGAGCTGCTCGCTGTCCCCCGTGCTTCTGACGGTGCCCCACCCCTACTGCTGCCCGTTCTCCTGAATTAGGGTTTGGGGGTGAGGAGTGTGGGGGTGGCGGTTGTGTGTTACTCCCCTTGCTCCTCCTCCTCCCTGGTCTCCCACTGCTGCAGCTGCCGCTGAGGGGGGTGGGTGTGTGGGAGCCTAGGGTTTAGGGTTTTAGGGGGGTGCGTGGGAGTGGAGCTAGGGTTTGAGCAGTGGGTGTGTGTCGAGGGTGTGGGGCAGTTGGAGGAGGTTGTGTGGAGGTACCTGTCGTGTCGCCTGCAGCGCCTGTAGTCCGTCGCCCTTGCTTCGGTAGCCAGTGAGCCTACTGCACCAGTCGCCAGTGGGTCCGTTGCTCCTGCCGCTCTTCTATAGCCGCCGAGCCAGTTACTCCAGTAGTCCGTCGCCCTTGCTTCGGTAGCCTCTGAGTCAGCCGCTCCTGTGCCCGTGCCTCTGCAGCTTCAGTCGTTGCCTCCCATCTTCTCTACCTCCACAGCTCCTCCTCCTCCTCACTTGCCCGCTGTGATTAGCTCTAGCTTTGCTTACCTTTGTGAACTCCTGCTCTATACCTGCTTGCTCATTGTACTGATTACACCCCACTTTGGCTATGGGGGTGTGTCAGAATGTTATTCTCTAGCCTGTAGTGGGGTGCTCTATAGCGAGTACAACCCATCTAGGGTTTGCTATATGTATCCTCATTGCTGCTAGTGACCCCCTTCTTCTTTTGGCTAAACTTCTCTTGCCTAGCTAGGACTTACCTAGCTATGGCTCATAACTCTTCCTACTATTTTCACACCGTCGTGTTGTCAGCAGCGCCAGTAGTCCGGGGCTCTGCTCCGGTAGCCCAGCGAGCCTACTGCGCCAGTCGTCCGTGGGTCCGTTGCTCCTGCCGCTCGTCTTAGCCGCGGAGCCAGTTACTCCAGTAGTCCGGGGCGCTGCTCCGGTAGCCGCTGTGCCAGCCGCTCTTGTTGCCCGTGTGTCTGCAGCTTCAGCCGTCGCCTCCTATCTCCTCTCCTCTCACAGTCCCGCCTCCTCCTCCTCACTTGCTCTTTGTGAATGCCTCTAGCTTTGCTTGTACTTGTGAACCTGCTCTATGACTGCTTGCTATGGTGATTATACCCCACTTTGACTATGGGGGTGTGTCAGAATGTGATATTTGTCTAGCCTGCAGTGGGGTACTCTATAGCGAGTATAGCCCAAATTAGGGTTTCCTACATGTACTTAACTGCCTGCTAGTGAAAACCTCTCTTCTCTGTTTCATTCTACTTTCCTATTTCTGACAAAATGTTGAAATTATCAAGCGTGGGGTGGGGTTGCCGCAGGTCGTCAGCGGTTTTGTATATTCTGGCCGAAGGGTCGAACCTTCAAGTCCTTTTTTTTGTGTGTGTTTTGTTTTAACGCCAACACTTGTTGTGTTTTGCAGGAACCGTTGAATCCGGCTAGTTGAAACTGTGTGGCTATAATCGAGTTTATCATAGTTGCATAGTCTTTGTTGAGACTTTCCGTGCATCTACAGTTGTATCGTAGGACGTGTCTGCTCCCCTGGAAAGTGCAATTTGTAATTGCCTGCTGCCTCTTTTTTTTGTCGGTTAATAATATAAACGCTATAAATTAAGAAAAGCTACAGAGCTTTTGGTCCTCAATATAAAATATAATATTGGAACACTCAAGAGTAGCGTAAATCCTTATTGAAACGGGAATGTGTAGGCTGTTGAGAATCTGTAACATGTTACCCTGTTATGATTGCTACAGTGTTGTGCAAACAAATATATACACAGTTGGATTTCCACACAATAGACAAAGTAACCAAAGCAGGTTACCATGTTAATGCTGTTAACAAAATATCGGTTACATGTTACCCCATTCATTTCTCTAGCGTAACCTGTGCTCTCGAAATGTCGCTATATTCATCTGCGTCTCGAAATTCTGAAATCGGTTTATTGGCCGAATCAATACTGTTTTTATAGGTAATATACGACAGCGTGATTGGTTTGCAACATGATAGCACAACGAATACGGGCAAGCCACGTGGTACCGAATTGATGAAACACATTCATAGTTACAGTAAAGCAACTTTCACAATTTTGAGATGTGCGGCCTGGATGCTACGGATCCGAATAATCCAATCAGTTTTGAGTTTGAATTTCACATTTAGCTAGTGTGCGTGAGACACGTGGTAGTCGAGCTCAGTAGCTACGGAAACGTTGCTTTGGCTGATTTCGAGATGTGCGGCCGCGATTTGTCGCAGCTGTTTTCGTAAGAAAGGGGTCAAACTCAAACCTACGGCAAAGCAGCTCATCCAACCTCTTTGAAGTAGGTGACAGAAAGGATACGTCAGAGCAGCTTTGATGCTGGTTTCCCGTAACTTCTGTCGACCCTGTTTTTTCCGATGGTCTACCATACCCGCTGGTAACCTCGGGTCGAGGCAACTGGCATGCACATGCATTGGCGCGGCATTCGAGGCACTGGGAACATCGCGCCCGTTGCCGCAGGGGACAAACTCGGCTCGGGGCGCGTTCGCAATCCATGGTTATCCCGAGTCGTGTCAACATCTTACGACGTGGAATGTCGCAGAAGAAGTAACGCGCCCTAGCCCGCGAGTGAAGAACGGCTGGAATGTGAGGAAATTCGGATCTTACATTTGTATTTTGTCTTCCCCTCTTTTGTTTTCGCCAAACAAAAACAGTCACCCGACTCTCCTTTCGCAGCAGCCCATTCCTTTCGCAAATCCCAAATTTCTCAACTCACCAATTCCCACCCACCAAATTCGTTACAGTTTGCGCACGGGAGTCCAGAGTTCCGCCTATCGTCCCGCATGTCGTCCCGCCTGTCGCTCCGCCCGTGTCGCTCCGCCTTTCGCTCAATGACCACCCCTGCGCAGCGCGTCTCGCCTTGGGGTCATCTCCCGCCGACGCGCACTCCAACGCCCTCCGCGTCGCGCCGTCTCGTCCTCGCCGCTGCTCCCATCTGCCGCATCCGCACCTTTGCGCCTCCCCGCGCTCAGACCCGCACAGTGGGAGGTCAACCCATAATGGGTTGGGCCCCAACCCACTGTTGGTAGATATCTACCCCGCCGTGCCGCCGCACGCCCACACTGCCCTGTGCCCCGCGCGCCATCAGCCCCGCCCGCCCTCAGCCCCGCGCGCCCTCCGCCTCTGAGCATCTCTCTACGCGCCACCCTGCATAGCAGCCCGGGTGCTGCTAATCACAATCCCAGCACGTCGCAGCGCGCAGCACGCACAAGTTGCACGGACACGCAGCAGGCATGATGGCAGCTGAGCTGCTCTCACACCTCCCCTTGCCCGCCTCGCCCCTCGCCCTCGCCCTCACGGCCGTCGTGGCTCTGCTGCTGCTGCGCGTGCTGCTCGTGCTGCACGGGGTGGGCCGCCCCCACCGCAAGAGGCCGCCTGGCGACCGCCTCTCCACACTCATCGTGCTGGGCTCAGGTGCTCACATTCGCACTCCCCCTTGCTCCCCTCCCCCGTTCTCCACTACACATGCATCTTTTCCCTCCCCCCCACATCACCTTCCGCCCTCACGCTCGGTTTCCAACCTCACTGGCGCCTCAGCAGCTCGTGTTTCAGCTTTCGCAGCACCGTTGCTCCACACAATCCTTGCTGCGCTGCACCCTGTGCCCTTTCTTTCTCCCCACACAAAAGCAACCCCTTTTCGCACGCCCATACAAGTTTCACCCCTCCTGCTTCCCCCACACTCACTCATGCTTCCTCCGCCTGCGCCGCTGCCCTCCACATACGCCCCTCCCTTTCCCCGTCCTCCCAGGGGGCCACACGGCGGAGATGCTGTGTGTGGTGGGCGCCCTGGACCACACACATACGTGTTCACCCTCCCTGCTCCTTCCACAATTACTCCCTTCCGCCCCGCGACCCTGCCTTTCCTCCGCCCCCTCAGGCGGCCACACGGCGGAGATGCTGTGTCCGTTGAGCGCCCTGGACAGTGGGCGCTGTGTCCGGTGAGCGCCCTGGACAGTGGGCGCTACAGCCCGCGCTGCTACATCTTCTCCCATCAGCCTGCCAATCCGCGCCTCCCTTCCCCCTCCCCTCCCCCCCCCCTCTCCCAGGGGGCCACACGGCGGAGATGCTGTGTCTGGTGGGCGCGCTGGACCACGGGCGCTACAGCCCGCGCTGCTACATCGCTGCTGCCACCGACGCCATCAGCCTGCCCAAGGCGCGCCAGCTAGAGGCCACACTCGCCCAGGTGAGACATCTTAAAACATGTTTTATTGCCAAGTCAAGCTCTCCCAAGGCAAGCCCTCCCAAGGCAAGCCCTCCCAAGTCAAGCCCTCCCAAGGCAAGCCCTCCCAAGTCAAGCCCTCCCAAGGCAAGCCCTCCCAAGTCAAGCCCTCCCAAGGCAAGCCCTCCCAAGTCAAGCCCTCCCAAGGCAAGCCCTCCCAAGTCAAGCCCTCCCAAGGCAAGCCCTCCCAAGTCAAGCCCTCCCAAGGCAAGCCCTCCCAAGTCAAGCCCTCCCAAGGCAAGCCCTCCCAAGTCAAGCCCTCCCAAGGCAAGCCCTCCCAAGTCAAGCCCTCCCAAGGCAAGCCCTCCCAAGTCAAGCCCTCCCAAGTCAAGCCCTCCCAAGTCAAGCCCTCCCAAGGCAAGCTCTCCCAAGGCAAGCTCTCCCAAGGCAAGCCCTCCCAAGGCAAGCCCTCCCAAGGCAAGCCCTCCCAAGTCAAGCCCTCCCAAGGCAAGCCCTCCCAAGTCAAGCCCTCCCAAGGCAAGCCCTCCCAAGTCAAGCCCTCCCAAGGCAAGCCCTCCCAAGTCAAGCCCTCCCAAGGCAAGCCCTCCCAAGGCAAGCCCTCCCAAGTCAAGCCCTCCCAAGTCAAGCCCTCCCAAGGCAAGCCCTCCCAAGTCAAGCCCTCCCAAGGCAAGCCCTCCCAAGGCAAGCCCTCCCAAGGCAAGCCCTCCCAAGTCAAGCCCTCCCAAGGCAAGCCCTCCCAAGTCAAGCCCTCCCAAGGCAAGCCCTCCCAAGTCAAGCCCTCCCAAGGCAAGCCCTCCCAAGGCAAGCCCTCCCAAGGCAAGCCCTCCCAAGGCAAGCCCTCCCAAGGCAAGCCCTCCCAAGGAAAGCCCTCCCAAGGCAAGCCCTCCCAAGGCAAGCCCTCCCAAGTCAAGCCCTCCCAAGGCAAGCCCTCCCAAGGCAAGCCCTCCCAAGTCAAGCCCTCCCAAGTCAAGCCCTCCCAAGTCAAGCCCTCCCAAGTCAAGCCCTCCCAAGGCAAGCCCTCCCAAGTCAAGCTCTCCCAAGGCAAGCCCTCCCAAGGCAAGCCCTCCCAAGGCAAGCCCTCCCAAGGCAAGCCCTCCCAAGTCAAGCCCTCCCAAGGCAAGCCCTCCCAAGTCAAGCCCTCCCAAGGCAAGCCCTCCCAAGTCAAGCCCTCCCAAGGCAAGCTCTCCCAAGGCAAGCCCTCCCAAGGCAAGCCCTCCCAAGGCAAGCCCTCCCAAGTCAAGCCCTCCCAAGGCAAGCCCTCCCAAGGCAAGCCCTCCCAAGTCAAGCCCTCCCAAGGCAAGCCCTCCCGAGTCAAACCCTCCCAAGGCAAGCCCTCCCAAGTCAAACCCTCCCAAGTCAAGCCCTCCCAAGGCAAGCCCTCCCAAGGCAAGCCCTCCCAAGTCAAGCCCTCCCAAGTCAAGCCCTCCCAAGTCAAGCCCTCCCAAGGCAAGCCCTCCCAAGTCAAGCCCTCCCAAGTCAAGCCCTCCCAAGGCAAGCCCTCCCAAGTCAAGCCCTCCCAAGTCAAGCCCTCCCAAGTCAAGCCCTCCCAAGTCAAGCCCTCCCAAGTCAAGCCCTCCCAAGTCAAGCCCTCCCAAGGCAAGCCCTCCCAAGTCAAGCTCTCCCAAGGCAAGCCCTCCAAAGTCAAGCTCTCCCAAGGCAAGCCCTCCCAAGGCAAGCCCTCCCAAGGCAAGCCCTCCCAAGTCAAGCCCTCCCAAGGCAAGCCCTCCCATGTCAAGCTCTCCCAAGGCAAGCTCTCCCAAGGCAAGCCCTCCCAAGGCAAGCCCTCCCAAGGCAAGCCCTCCCAAGTCAAGCCCTCCCAAGGCAAGCCCTCCCAAGTCAAGCCCTCCCAAGGCAAGCCCTCCCAAGTCAAGCCCTCCCAAGTCAAGCCCTCCCAAGGCAAGCCCTCCCAAGTCAAGCCCTCCCAAGTCAAGCCCTCCCAAGTCAAGCCCTCCCAAGTCAAGCCCTCCCAAGTCAAGCCCTCCCAAGTCAAGCCCTCCCAAGTCAAGCCCTCCCAAGGCAAGCCCTCCCAAGGCAAGCCCTCCCAAGTCAAGCCCTCCCAAGGCAAGCCCTCCCAAGGCACGCCCTCCCAAGGCAAGCCCTCCCAAGGCAAACCCTCCCAAGGCAAGCCCTCCCAAGGCAAGCCCTCCCAAGGCAAGCCCTCCCAAGTCAAGCCCTCCCAAGGCAAGCCCTCCCAAGGCAAGCCCTCCCAAGGCAAGCCCTCCCAAGTCAAGCCCTCCCAAGGCAAGCCCTCCCAAGGCAAGCCCTCCCAAGGCAAGCCCTCCCAAGGCAAACCCTCCCAAGTCAAGCCCTCCCAAGGCAAGCTCTCCCAAGGCAAGCCCTCCCAAGTCAAGCCCTCCCAAGGCAAGCCCTCCCAAGGCAAGCCCTCCCAAGGCAAGCCCTCCCAAGGCAAGCCCTCCCAAGTCAAGCCCTCCCAAGGCAAGCCCTCCCAAGGCAAGCCCTCCCAAGGCAAGCCCTCCCAAGTCAAGCCCTCCCAAGGCAAGCTCTCCCAAGGCAAGCCCTCCCAAGTCAAGCCCTCCCATGTCAAGCTCTCCCAAGGCAAGCCCTCCCAAGGCAAGCCCTCCCAAGGCAAGCCCTCCCAAGTCAAGCCCTCCCAAGGTAAGCCCTCCCAAGTCAAGCCCTCCCAAGGCAAGCCCTCCCAAGTCAAGCCCTCCCAAGTCAAGCCCTCCCAATTCAAGCTCTCCCAAGGAAAGCCCTCCCAAGGCAAGCCCTCCCAAGGCAAGCCCTCCCAAGGCAAGCCCTCCCAAGGCAAGCCCTCCCAAGGCAAGCCCTCCCAAGTCAAGCCCTCCCAAGGCAAACTCTCCCAAGGCAAGCCCTCCCAAGTCAAGCCCTCCCAAGTCAAGCCCTCCCAAGTCAAGCCCTCCCAAGGCAAGCTCTCCCAAGGCAAGCCCTCCCAAGGCAAGCCCTCCGAAGGCAAGCCCTCCCAAGGCAAGCCCTCCCAAGGCAAGCCCTCCCAAGTCAAGCCCTCCCAAGGCAAGCCCTCCCAAGTCAAGCCCTCCCAAGGCAAGCCCTCCCAAGGCAAGCCCTCCCAAGTCAAGCCCTCCCAAGGCAAGCCCTCCCAAGTCAAGCCCTCCCAAGGCAAGCCCTCCCAAGGCAAGCCCTCCCAAGGCAAGCCCTCCCAAGGCAAACCCTCCCAAGTCAAGCCCTCCCAAGGCAAGCCCTCCCAAGGCAAGCCCTCCCAAGTCAAGCCCTCCCAAGGCAAGCCCTCCCAAGGCAAGCCCTCCCAAGTCAAGCCCTCCCAAGGCAAGCTCTCCCAAGGCAAGCCCTCCCAAGTCAAGCCCTCCCATGTCAAGCTCTCCCAAGGCAAGCCCTCCCAAGGCAAGCCCTCCCAAGGCAAGCCCTCCCAAGTCAAGCCCTCCCAAGGTAAGCCCTCCCAAGTCAAGCCCTCCCAAGGCAAGCCCTCCCAAGTCAAGCCCTCCCAAGTCAAGCCCTCCCAATTCAAGCTCTCCCAAGGAAAGCCCTCCCAAGGCAAGCCCTCCCAAGGCAAGCCCTCCCAAGGCAAGCCCTCCCAAGGCAAGCCCTCCCAAGGCAAGCCCTCCCAAGTCAAGCCCTCCCACGGCAAACTCTCCCAAGGCAAGCCCTCCCAAGTCAAGCCCTCCCAAGTCAAGCCCTCCCAAGGCAAGCTCTCCCAAGGCAAGCCCTCCCAAGGCAAGCCCTCCGAAGGCAAGCCCTCCCAAGGCAAGCCCTCCCAAGGCAAGCCCTCCCAAGTCAAGCCCTCCCAAGGCAAGCCCTCCCAAGTCAAGCCCTCCCAAGGCAAGCCCTCCCAAGGCAAGCCCTCCCAAGTCAAGCCCTCCTAAGGCAAGCCCTCCCAAGGCAAGCCCTCCCAAGGCAAGCCCTCCCAAGTCAAGCCCTCCCAAGTCAAGCCCTCCCAAGTCAAGCCCTCCCAAGTCAAGTCCTCCCAAGGCAAGCCCTCCCAAGGCAAGCCCTCCCAAGGCAAGCCCTCCCAAGGCAAGCCCTCCCAAGTCAAGCCCTCCCAAGGCAAGCCCTCCCAAGTCAAGCCCTCCCAAGGCAAGCCCTCCCAAGTCAAGCCCTCCCAAGGCAAGCTCTCCCAAGGCAAGCCCTCCCAAGGCAAGCCCTCCCAAGGCAAGCCCTCCCAAGTCAAGCCCTCCCAAGGCAAGCCCTCCCAAGGCAAGCCCTCCCAAGTCAAGCCCTCCCAAGGCAAGCTCTCCCAAGGCAAGCCCTCCCAAGGCAAGCCCTCCGAAGGCAAGCCCTCCCAAGGCAAGCCCTCCCAAGGCAAGCCCTCCCAAGTCAAGCCCTCCCAAGGCAAGCCCTCCCAAGTCAAGCCCTCCCAAGGCAAGCCCTCCCAAGGCAAGCCCTCCCAAGTCAAGCCCTCCCAAGGCAAGCCCTCCCAAGGCAAGCCCTCCCAAGGCAAGCCCTCCCAAGTCAAGCCCTCCCAAGTCAAGCCCTCCCAAGTCAAGCCCTCCCAAGTCAAGTCCTCCCAAGGCAAGCCCTCCCAAGGCAAGCCCTCCCAAGGCAAGCCCTCCCAAGGCAAGCCCTCCCAAGTCAAGCCCTCCCAAGGCAAGCCCTCCCAAGTCAAGCCCTCCCAAGGCAAGCCCTCCCAAGTCAAGCCCTCCCAAGGCAAGCTCTCCCAAGGCAAGCCCTCCCAAGGCAAGCCCTCCCAAGGCAAGCCCTCCCAAGTCAAGCCCTCCCAAGGCAAGCCCTCCCAAGGCAAGCCCTCCCAAGTCAAGCCCTCCCAAGGCAAGCCCTCCCGAGTCAAACCCTCCCAAGGCAAGCCCTCCCAAGTCAAGCCCTCCCAAGGCAAGCCCTCCCAAGGCAAGCCCTCCCAAGGCAAGCCCTCCCAAGGCAAGCCCTCCCAAGTCAAGCCCTCCCAAGGCAAGCCCTCCCAAGGCAAGCCCTCCCAAGGCAAGCCCTCCCAAGTCAAGCCCTCCCAAGGCAAGCCCTCCCAAGTCAAGCCCTCCCAAGTCAAGCCCTCCCAAGGCAAGCCCTCCCAAGTCAAGCCCTCCCAAGGCAAGCCCTCCCAAGGCAAGCCCTCCCAAGTCAAGCCCTCCCAAGTCAAGCCCTCCCAAGGCAAGCCCTCCCAAGTCAAGCCCTCCCAAGGCAAGCCCTCCCAAGTCAAGCCCTCCCAAGTCAAGCCCTCCCAAGGCAAGCCCTCCCAAGTCAAGCCCTCCCAAGGCAAGCCCTCCCAAGTCAAGCCCTCCCAAGGCAAGCCCTCCCAAGGCAAGCCCTCCCAAGTCAAGCCCTCCCAAGGCAAGCCCTCCCAAGGCAAGCCCTCCCAAGGCAAGCCCTCCCAAGGCAAGCCCTCCCAAGTCAGCTGGAGGCCACACTCGCCCAAAACAAATCTCTCTCTCCAGTGCCCTCGCCCAGGCAAGCCCTCGCCCAGGCAAGCCCTCGCCCAGGCAAGCCCTCGCCCAGGCAAGCTGTACAACCATGCGGCGCCTCAAAGCCCGCCCAGGCACGACCTACCTCCTCCGCACCTGCCCGGCTGTGCCCTGCCTGGCTGTGCCCTGCCTGGCTGTGCCCTGCCAAGCTGCCGTTTCACTTCACACCCACACCCTGCACGCGCCACTCTGTGTCCCGCACTCCCTACCACTGCCCATTGTTTCGAACTTTGGCACGTCCCATCATCCTGCTATCATTCCGCTTTGCTCACATGCCTCTACCCCTCATCCTGCGCTTGTCCCACCCTCACTCTCCCATCCCGCCCATTCCAGGGAGCACCCACTTCCTCCCCATCGCCCGCCTCGCCTGTCCCACCCGCCTCCTACCTGTCGGTGTATCGGAGTCGCGAGGTGGGGCAGTCATACCTCACCTCAGTGCTCACCACCATCGCCGCCACGCTGCACGCCATGCTGCTCGTGGCACGCGTCAGACCACAACTGGTGCGCCCATCCGTGCAGCTTGCCTCTTGCCTCTCTCGTGCTGCTTCCCTTGGGTCTCTCGTGCTGCTTCCCTTGGGTCTCTCGTGCTGCTTCCCTTGGGTCTCTCGTGCTGCTTCCCTTGGGTCTCTCGTGCTGCTTCCCTTGGGTCTCTCGTGCTGCTTCCCTTGGGTCTCTCGTGCTGCTTCCCTTGGGTCTCTCGTGCTGCTTCCCTTGGGTCTCTCGTGCTGCTTCCCTTGGGTCTCTCGTGCTGCTTCCCTTGGGTCTCTCGTGCTGCTTCCCTTGGGTCTCTCGTGCTGCTTCCCTTGGGTCTCTCGTGCTGCTTCCCTTGGGTCTCTCGTGCTGCTTCCCTTGGGTCTCTCGTGCTGCTTCCCTTGGGTCTCTCGTGCTGCTTCCCTTGGGTCTCTCGTGCTGCTTCCCTTGGGTCTCTCGTGCTGCTTCCCTTGGGTCTCTCGTGCTGCTTCCCTTGGGTCTCTCGTGCTGCTTCCCTTGGGTCTCTCGTGCTGCTTCCCTTGGGTCTCTCGTGCTGCTTCCCTTGGGTCTCTTGTGCTTCTTGCCTCTTGTCTCGTTTGTGCTGCTGCACCTTCTCTTCCGCTGCATTCTGCAAGTGCAGCGTCTTGTTCCCTGTGAACGTGCCATTTCATCAACGTGCATCTCGTTCTACTGCGCTCACAACTCACCATCCCCGCCCATCCATGCCCATCCATGCCCATCCGTGCCCATCCATGCCCATCCATGCCCATCCGTCTCCCTCCCTCCATCACTGGGCAGCTGCTCTGCAACGGGCCCGGCACCTGTCTGCCAATATGCATCGCCGTCTTCACGTTGCACGTGAGTTCCTCTCGCTCTCTGTCACCGCAGCTCACCCACACAATCACCCATTTGCACCCTCCCATCCCCTCCTCCACCGACTCACCGACCCTCTGCATCCACCTTATCCACCTTCACACACCAGCTGCAATTCACATTCCAGTGAGCTCTTTTCCTGTACACAGCGGCTCTCCACGAGTGCCACTCCCCGTCTGCACATGATTCAAGTATCACAGCCACGCCATCTGCCCACTCGCTGCATCCACACGCCTGAGCTGCGTGACCAGCTGTCCGAGGTTCTCTGCTCTCCACCGCTTCTCTCTCCTCGCTTGTGCCCAATGTGACCCCCTTCCCTTTCCCTTTGCCTTCCCTGCTTCCAGCTCGCACAACATGCTCCAAAGTACACAACTGCAGAGCATTGCTTAAAGTTATTCATGTGCCTCATGAGAACCCAATCCCGCAACCCCTTACCATCGTCGGCAGGTGCTGGGAGTGCAGAGCAGCAGCATCGTGTTTGTGGAGAGTGTGGCACGAGTGGACCACCTGTCGCTCACAGGCTGTCTGCTGCACCGCGTGGGCATCGTAGACTGGTTCTTCGTGCAGTGGCCACACCTCACCAGCTCATGCAAGGGCACCCAATATGTGGGCCGCCTCATGTGATGCTCACTGGCAGCAAGCACAGCAGCTGACTCAACTCTTGTTATAAGGTGACTCTTGAGTCGACTCAAAAGGCCGTTTAATGGACCGCGTCTTTATGCAGTGGCTACACCTCGCCAGCTACCCACGTATCTGGGCCGCCTCATGCCATGCCAGAAGTAAGCACAGCAGTCACCCAGCGCTTGTTATGAGATGACTCAAAGGGCCGTGTGCTGCACCGCCTCGCCATCGTGGAGCGATTCTTCGTGCCGTGGCCGCTGGCCCTTCCCCCGAAGGCCCCTCCCCTCTGGCACTCTCACCTCTTGGGCTGTCTCCCATGTGCTCCCCCTACCGCTGCTACCATTCCTGCCACCTAGCCTACAAAGCCATCTCTCTGGCGCAACCTCTGCTTCTATGTATCCCACGATCCTGTTCCCAGCCCCGCCACCCCCTCCCGCCCCCTCCTGCACCCTCTCTGATCTGATGCCCCCCCAAGTGGGCCCCTGCTGCAAGCCCGTCTCGAATGCGAGTGCCTCGACATTCGGACGTGTACAGATGTAGAGGTTGCTGGACAGGTGTGTGGAAATGGAGTTGAACCCACAAGACGTGAATGGTGATCGTCCTCGCTGGTGAAAGGAGCTGGAACACTGTCCATATTGGTGTGGCGACCCTAAAAATGGATGCAAGTATCCGGTAGCCAGGAGATGAAAGGTATACGATTACCGTAACATGCATTGCATTGACTGGGCTGGGAGAGTAGTATCTCATGTTTTGAACAAAACTATTTTATTAAAATCCAGTTCACAGCTTGACAGATTTCTAGACGGGTTCACTGCACAGAACCTTCCTTCCTCGCCACTGCTGTACGAGAACGAGACTCGCAGTGTGAATCGAGCAGCTAATACCGTAGCATGGCACCCCCCTGCACAGCCACCCGCCTGCTACGCCCCCAGCTGCTTCATGAGCTCCGCCCTGCCCACAGCCAGCGCCTCCGGCAGCTTCTCCGGCTGCCTGCCCCCCGCCTGTGCGAAGTTGGGGCGCCCCCCTCCCCCTCCCCCACACACTCGCGCCATGGCGCCCGCCAGCTTGCCCGCATTCACCCCCGCCTTCACCACCTGTGGGACACATGGGCGGTGAGCAGGCCACGTGGGGGAATGTGGAGATTGTATGGGCGGTGGTGCAAGGGCTGCTGGAGTGCAAGGGCTGCTGGAGTGCAAGGGCTGCTGGAGTGCAAGGGCTGCTGGAGTGCAAGGGCTGCTGGAGTGCAAGGGCTGCTGGAGTGCAAGGGCTGCTGGAGTGCAAGGGCTGCTGGAGTGCAAGGGCTGCTGGAGTGCAAGGGCTGCTGGAGTGCAAGGGCTGCTGGAGTGCAAGGGCTGCTGGAGTGCAAGGGCTGCTGGAGTGCAAGGGCTGCTGGAGTGCAAGGGCTGCTGGAGTGCAAGGGCTGCTGGAGTGCAAGGGCTGCTGGAGTGCAGGGCTGCTGGAGTGCAAGGGCTGCTGGAGTGCAAGGGCTGCTGGAGTGCAAGGGCTGCTGGAGTGCAAGGGCTGCTGAGTGCAAGGCTGCTGGAGTGCAAGGGCTGCTGGAGTGCAAGGGCTGCTGGAGTGCAAGGGCTGCTGGAGTGCAAGGGCTGCTGGAGTGCAAGGGCTGCTGGAGTGCAAGGGCTGCTGGAGTGCAAGGGCTGCTGGAGTGCAAGGGCTGCTGGAGTGCAAGGGCTGCTGGAGTGCAAGGGCTGCTGGAGTGGCAAGGGCTGCTGGAGTGCAAGGGCTGCTGGAGTGCAAGGGCTGCTGGAGTGCAAGGGCTGCTGAGTGCAAGGGCTGCTGGAGTGCAAGGGCTGCTGGAGTGCAAGGGCTGCTGGAGTGCAAGGGCTGCTGGAGTGCAAGGGCTGCTGGAGTGCAAGGGCTGCTGGAGTGCAAGGGCTGCTGGAGTGCAAGGGCTGCTGGAGTGCAAGGGCTGCTGGAGTGCAAGGGCTGCTGGAGTGCAAGGGCTGCATGGAGTGCAAGGGCTGCTGGAGTGCAAGGGCTGCTGGAGTGCAAGGGCTGCTGGAGTGCAAGGGCTGCTGGAGTGCAAGGGCTGCTGGAGTGCAAGGGCTGCTGGAGTGCAAGGGCTGCTGGAGTGCCAAGGGCTGCTGGAGTGCAAGGGCTGCTGGAGTGCAAGGGCTGGCTGGAGTGCAAGGGCTGCTGGAGTGCAAGGGCTGCTGGAGTGCAAGGGCTGCTGGAGTGCAAGGGCTGCTGGAGTGCAAGGGCTGCTGGAGTGCAAGGGCTGCTGGAGTGCAAGGGCTGCTGGAGTGCAAGGGCTGCTGGAGTGCAAGGGCTGCTGGAGTGCAAGGGCTGCTGGAGTGCAAGGGCTGCTGGAGTGCAAGGGCTGCTGGAGTGCAAGGGCTGCTGGAGTGCAAGGGCTGCTGGAGTGCAAGGGCTGCTGGAGTGCAAGGGCTGCTGGAGTGCAAGGGCTGCTGGAGTGCAAGGGCTGCTGGAGTGCAAGGGCTGCTGGAGTGCAAGGGCTGCTGGAGTGCAAGGGGCTGCTGGAGTGCAAGGGCTGCTGGAGTGCAAGGGCTGCTGGAGTGCAAGGGCTGCTGGAGTGCAAGGGCTGCTGGAGTGCAAGGGCTGCTGGAGTGCAAGGGCTGCTGGAGTGCAAGGGCTGCTGGAGTGCAAGGGCTGCTGGAGTGCAAGGGCTGCTGGAGTGCAAGGGCTGCTGGAGTGCAAGGGCTGCTGGAGTGCAAGGGCTGCTGGAGTGCAAGGGCTGCTGGAGTGCAAGGGCTGCTGGAGTGCAAGGGCTGCCTGGAGTGCAAGGGCTGCTGGAGTGCAAGGGCTGCTGGAGTGCAAGGGCTGCTGGAGTGCAAGGGCTGCTGGAGTGCAAGGGGCTGCTGGAGTGCAAGGGCTGCTGGAGTGCAAGGGCTGCTGGAGTGCAAGGGCTGCTGGAGTGCAAGGGCTGCTGGAGTGCAAGGGCTGCTGGAGTGCAAGGGCTGCCTGGAGTGCAAGGGCTGCTGGAGTGCAAGGGCTGCTGGAGTGCAAGGGCTGCTGGAGTGCAAGGGCTGCTGGAGTGCAAGGGCTGCTGGAGTGCAAGGGCTGCTGGAGTGCAAGGGCTGCTGGAGTGCAAGGGCTGCTGGAGTGCAAGGGCTGCTGGAGTGCAAGGGCTGCTGGAGTGCAAGGGCTGCTGGAGTGCAAGGGCTGCTGGAGTGCAAGGGCTGCTGGAGTGCAAGGGCTGCTGGAGTGCAAGGGCTGCTGGAGTGCAAGGGCTGCTGGAGTGCAAGGGCTGCTGGAGTGCAAGGGCTGCTGGAGTGCAAGGGCTGCTGGAGTGCAAGGGCTGCTGGAGTGCAAGGGCTGCTGGAGTGCAAGGGCTGCTGGAGTGCAAGGGCTGCTGGAGTGCAAGGGCTGCTGGAGTGCAAGGGCTGCTGGAGTGCAAGGGCTGCTGGAGTGCAAGGGCTGCTGGAGTGCAAGGGCTGCTGGAGTGCAAGGGCTGCTGGAGTGCAAGGGCTGCTGGAGTGCAAGGGCTGCTGGAGTGCAAGGGCTGCTGGAGTGCAAGGGCTGCTGGAGTGCAAGGGCTGCTGGAGTGCAAGGGCTGCTGGAGTGCAAGGGCTGCTGGAGTGCAAGGGCTGCTGGAGTGCAAGGGCTGCTGGAGTGCAAGGGCTGCTGGAGTGCAAGGGCTGCTGGAGTGCAAGGGCTGCTGGAGTGCAAGGGCTGCTGGAGTGCAAGGGCTGCTGGAGTGCAAGGGCTGCTGGAGTGCAAGGGCTGCTGGAGTGCAAGGGCTGCTGGAGTGCAAGGGCTGCTGGAGTGCAAGGGCTGCTGGAGTGCAAGGGCTGCTGGAGTGCAAGGGCTGCTGGAGTGCAAGGGCTGCTGGAGTGCAAGGGCTGCTGGAGTGCAAGGGCAAGGGCTGCTGGAGTGGCAAGGGCTGCTGGAGTGCAAGGGCTGCTGGAGTGCAAGGGCTGCTGGAGTGCAAGGGCTGCTGGAGTGCAAGGGCTGCTGAGTGCAAGGGCTGCTGGAGTGCAAGGGCTGCTGGAGTGCAAGGGCTGCTGGAGTGCAAGGGCTGCTGGAGTGCAAGGGCTGCTGGAGTGCAAGGGCTGCTGGAGTGCAAGGGCTGCTGGAGTGCAAGGGCTGCTGGAGTGCAAGGGCTGCTGGAGTGCAAGGGCTGCTGGAGTGCAAGGGCTGCTGGAGTGCAAGGGCTGCTGGAGTGCAAGGGCTTGCTGGAGTTGCAAGGGCTGCTGGAGTGCAAGGGGTGCTGGAGTGCAAAGGGCTGCTGGAGTGCAAGGGCTGCTGGAGTGCAAGGGCTGCTGGAGTGCAAGGGCTGCTGGAGTGCAAGGGCTGCTGGAGTGCAAGGGCTGCTGGAGTGCAAGGGCTGCTGGAGTGCAAGGGCTGCTGGAGTGCAAGGGCTGCTGGAGTGCAAGGGCTGCTGGAGTGCAAGGCTGCTGGAGTGCAAGGCTGGAGTGCAAGGGCTGCTGGAGTGCAAGGGCTGCTGGAGTGCAAGGGCTGCTGGAGTGCAAGGGCTGCTGGAGTGCAAGGGCTGCTGGAGTGCAAGGGCTGCTGGAGTGCAAGGGCTGCTGGAGTGCAAGGGCTGCTGGAGTGCAAGGGCTGCTGGAGTGCAAGGGCTGCTGGAGTGCAAGGGCTGCTGGAGTGCAAGGGCTGCTGGAGTGCAAGGGCTGCTGGAGTGCAAGGGCTGCTGGAGTGCAAGGGCTGCTGGAGTGCAAGGGCTGCTGGAGTGCAAGGGCTGCTGGAGTGCAAGGGCTGCTGGAGTGCAAGGGCTGCTGGAGTGCAAGGGCTGCTGGAGTGCAAGGGCTGCTGGAGTGCAAGGGCTGCTGGAGTGCAAGGGCTGCTGGAGTGCAAGGGCTGCTGGAGTGCAAGGGCTGCTGGAGTGCAAGGGCTGCTGGAGTGCAAGGGCTGCTGGAGTGCAAGGGCTGCTGGAGTGCAAGGGCTGCTGGAGTGCAAGGGCTGCTGGAGTGCAAGGGCTGCTGGAGTGCAAGGGCTGCTGGAGTGCAAGGGCTGCTGGAGTGCAAGGGCTGCTGGAGTGCAAGGGCTGCTGGAGTGCAAGGGCTGCTGGAGTGCAAGGGCTGCTGGAGTGCAAGGGCTGCTGGAGTGCAAGGGCTGCTGGAGTGCAAGGCTGCTGGAGTGCAAGGGCTGCTGGAGTGCAAGGGCTGCTGGAGTGCAAGGGCTGCTGGAGTGCAAGGGCTGCTGGAGTGCAAGGGCTGCTGGAGTGCAAGGGCTGCTGGAGTGCAAGGGCTGCTGGAGTGCAAGGGCTGCTGGAGTGCAAGGGCTGCTGGAGTGCAAGGGCTGCTGGAGTGCAAGGGCTGCTGGAGTGCAAGGGCTGCTGGAGTGCAAGGGCTTGCTGGAGTGCAAGGGCTGCTGGAGTGCAAGGGCTGCTGGAGTGCAAGGGCTGCTGGAGTGCAAGGGCTGCTGGAGTGCAAGGGCTGCTGGAGTGCAAGGGCTGCTGGAGTGCAAGGGCTGCTGGAGTGCAAGGCTGCTGGAGTGCAAGGGCTGCTGGTAGTGCAAGGGCTGCTGGAGTGCAAGGGCTGCTGGAGTGCAAGGGCCTGCTGGAGTGCAAGGGCTGCTGGAGTGCAAGGGCTGGCTGGAGTGCAAGGGCTGCTGGAGTGCAAGGGCTGCTGGAGTGCAAGGCTGCTGGAGTGCAAGGGCTGCTGGAGTGCAAGGGCTGCTGGAGTGCAAGGGCTGCTGGAGTGCAAGGGCTGCTGGAGTGCAAGGGCTGCTGGAGTGCAAGGGCTGCTGGAGTGCAAGGGCTGCTGGAGTGCAAGGGCTGCTGGAGTGCAAGGGCTGCTGGAGTGCAAGGGCTGCTGGAGTGCAAGGGCTGCTGGAGTGCAAGGGCTGCTGGAGTGCAAGGGCTGCTGGAGTGCAAGGGCTGCTGGAGTGCAAGGGCTGCTGGAGTGCAGGGCTGCTGGAGTGCAAGGGCTGCTGTAGTGCAAGAGGGGCTGCTGGAGTGCAAGGGCTGCTGGAGTGCAAAGGGGGGAGGCAAGGCTCGCTTGGAGTGGCAAGGGCTGCTGGAGTGCAAGGGCTGCTGGAGTGCAAGGGCTGCTGGAGTGCAAGGGCTGCTGGAGTGCAAGGGCTGCTGGAGTGCAAGGGCTGCTGGAGTGCAAGGGCTGCTGGAGTGCAAGGGCTGCTGGAGTGCAAGGGCTGGCTGGAGTGCAAGGGCTGCTGGAGTGCAAGGGCTGCTGGAGTGCAAGGGCTGCTGGAGTGCAAGGGCTGCTGGAGTGCAAGGGCTGCTGGAGTGCAAGGGCTGCTGGAGTGCAAGGGCTGCTGGAGTGCAAGGGCTGCTGGAGTGCAAGGGCTGCTGGAGTGCAAGGGCTGCTGGAGTGCAAGGGCTGCTGGAGTGCAAGGGGCTGCTGGAGTGCAAGGGCTGCTGGAGTGCAAGGGCTGCTGGAGTGCAAGGGCTGCTGGAGTGCAAGGGCTGCTGGAGTGCAAGGGCTGCTGGAGTGCAAGGGCTGCTGGAGTGCAAGGGCTGCTGGAGTGCAAGGGCTGCTGGAGTGCAAGGGCTGCTGGAGTGGCAAGGGCTGCTGGAGTGCAAGGGCTGCTGGAGTGCAAGGGCTGCTGGAGTGCAAGGGCTGCTGGAGTGCAAGGGCTGCTGGAGTGCAAGGGCTGCTGGAGTGCAAGGGCTGCTGGAGTGCAAGGCTGCTGGAGTGCAAGGGCTGCTGGAGTGCAAGGCTGCTGGAGTGCAAGGGCTGCTGGAGTGCAAGGGCTGCTGGAGTGCAAGGGCTGCTGGAGTGCAAGGGCTGCTGGAGTGCAAGGGCTGCTGGAGTGCAAGGGCTGCTGGAGTGCAAGGGCTGCTGAGTGCAAGGGCTGCTGGAGTGCAAGGGCTGCTGGAGTGCAAGGGCTGCTGGAGTGCAAGGGCTGCTGGAGTGCAAGTGCTGCTGGAGTGCAAGGGCTGCTGGAGTGCAAGGGCTGCTGGAGTGCAAGGGCTGCTGGAGTGCAAGGGCTGCTGGAGTGCAAGGGCTGCTGGAGTGCAAGGGCTGCTGGAGTGCAAGGGCTGCTGGAGTGCAAGGGCTGCTGGAGTGCAAGGGCTGCTGGAGTGCAAGGGCTGCTGTGGAGTGCAAGGGCTGCTGGAGTGCAAGGGCTGCTGGAGTGCAAGGGCTGCTGGAGTGCAAGGGCTGCTGGAGTGCAAGGGCTGCTGGAGTGCAAGGGCTGCTGGAGTGCAAGGGCTGCTGGAGTGCAAGGGCTGCTGGAGTGCAAGGGCTGCTGGAGTGCAAGGGCTGCTGGAGTGCAAGGGCTGCTGGAGTGCAAGGGCTGCTGGAGTGCAAGGGCTGCTGGAGTGCAAGGGCTGCTGGAGTGCAAGGGCTGCTGGAGTGCAAGGGGCTGCTGGAGTGCAAGGGCTGCTGGAGTGCAAGGGCTGCTGGAGTGCAAGGGCTGCTGGAGTGCAAGGGGCTGCTGGAGTGCAAGGGCTGCTGGAGTGCAAGGGCTGCTGGAGTGCAAGGGGCTGCTGAGTGCAAGGGCTGCTGGAGTGCAAGGGCTGCTGAGTGCAAGGGCTGCTGGAGTGCAAGGCTGCTGGAGTGCAAGGGCTGCTGGAGTGCAAGGGCTGCTGGAGTGCAAGGGCTGCTGGAGTGCAAGGGCTGCTGAGTGCAAGGGCTGCTGGAGTGCAAGGGCTTGCTGGAGTGCAAGGGCTGCTGGAGTGCAAGGGCTGCTGGAGTGCAAGGGCTGCTGGAGTGCAAGGGCTGCTGGAGTGCAAGGGCTGCTGGAGTGCAAGGGCTGCTGAGTGCAAGGGCTGCTGGAGTGCAAGGGCTGCTGGAGTGCAAGGGCTGCTGGAGTGCAAGGGCTGCTGGAGTGCAAGGGCTGCTGAGTGCAAGGGCTGCTGAGTGCAAGGGGCTGCTGGAGTGCAAGGGCTGCTGGAAGTGCAAGGGCTGCTGGAGTGCACAAGGGCTGCTGGAGTGCAAGGGCTGCTGGAGTGCAGGGCTGCCTGGGAGTGCAAGGGCTGCTGGAGTGCAAGGGCTGCTGGAGTGCAAGGCTGCTGGAGTGCAGGGCTGCTGGAGTGCAAGGGCTGCTGGAGTGCAAGGGCTGCTGGAGTGCAAGGGCTGCTGGAGTGCAAGGGCTGCTGGAGTGCAAGGGCTGCTGGAGTGCAAAGGGCTGCTGGAGTGCAAGGGCTGCTGGAGTGCAAGGGCTGCTGGAGTGCAAGGGGCTGCTGGAGTGCAAGGGCTGCTGGAGGTGCAAAGGGCTGCTGGAGTGCAAGGGCTGCTGGAGTGCAAGGGCTGCTGGAGTGCAAGGGCTGCTGGAGTGCAAGGGCTGCTGGAGTGCAAGGGCTGCTGGAGTGCAAGGGCTGCTGGAGTGCAAGGGCTGCTGGAGTGCAAGGGCTGCTGGAGTGCAAGGGCTGCTGGAGTGCAAGGGCTGCTGGAGTGCAAGGGCTGCTGGAGTGCAAGGGCTGCTGGAGTGCAAGGGCTGCTGGAGTGCAAGGGCTGCTGGAGTGCAAGGGCTGCTGGAGTGCAAGGGCTGCTGGAGTGCAAGGGCTGCTGGAGTGCAAGGGCTGCTGGAGTGCAAGGGCTGCTGGAGTGCAAGGGCTGCTGGAGTGCAAGGGCTGCTGGAGTGCAAGGGCTGCTGGAGTGCAAGGGCTGCTGGAGTGCAAGGGCTGCTGGAGTGCAAGGGCTGCTGGAGTGCAAGGGCTGCTGGAGTGCAAGGGCTGCTGGAGTGCAAGGGCTGCTGGAGTGCAAGGGCTGCTGGAGTGCAAGGGCTGCTGGAGTGCAAGGGCTGCTGGAGTGCAAGGGCTGCTGGAGTGCAAGGGCTGCTGGAGTGCAAGGGCTGCTGGAGTGCAAGGGCTGCTGGAGTGCAAGGGCTGCTGGAGTGCAAGGGCTGCTGGAGTGCAAGGGCTGCTGGAGTGCAAGGGCTGCTGGAGTGCAAGGGCTGCTGGAGTGCAAGGGCTGCTGGAGTGCAAGGGCTGCTGGAGTGCAAGGGCTGCTGGAGTGCAAGGGCTGCTGGAGTGCAAGGGCTGCTGGAGTGCAAGGGCTGCTGGAGTGCAAGGGCTGCTGGAGTGCAAGGGCTGCTGGAGTGCAAGGGCTGCTGGAGTGCAAGGGCTGCTGGAGTGCAAGGGCTGCTGGAGTGCAAGGGCTGCTGGAGTGCAAGGGCTGCTGGAGTGCAAGGGCTGCTGGAGTGCAAGGGCTGCTGGAGTGCAAGGGCTGCTGGAGTGCAAGGAATAAAGGGATCAGATTGAGGGAGGAACAACATGTGGTGAGCATCAGCGCACTGCAGGCAGCTGCCACTCACCTGGAGCACTCATCAAGAGCACTAATCGAGAGCAGTGACCTAGAGCACAGTGCAGGAAGCAGGGTCTCACCGCGGGGCTGAGCAGAGCCACGATGGCCACCTTGCCCTCCTCGCTGCTGCCTGACGCCAGCACCACCGCACTCTCACTGCCGCCGCCCGACAACTGTGCCGCCAGGTTCTCTGCGGCCGTCTTGAGGGCGTCTGCTGTCACCCCGGGCAGCTCCGCCACCAACACCCTGAGAGGTGGGGAGGGGGAGAGGGGGGAGGGGGGGGAGGGGGGGGAGTGGGGGAATGGGGGAGGGGGAGAGGATGGGCTTGTTGCGTTGTGAGTCGACTCAAAGGGCGTCTGCTGTCACCCCGGGCAGCTCTGCCACCTGCACACTGAGAGATGGGGGGAGGGGGAGAGGCGATGGGCTTGCTGCGTTGGGTGGGAAGTAGAGAGGAAACGAGCGGGGTGTGGATGGTGCGAGTGGTGGGCTCTCATCACACCTCCCATCCATGCATCCTATACCCTCTCCCCTCCCATGCCTTTTCCGGGCCCATGCCCTCTCCCCTTCCATGCCCTCTCCCCTTCCATGCCCTCACCCCTCCCATGCCCTCACCCCTCCCATGCCCTCACCCCTCCCATGCCCTCACCCCTCCCATGCCCTCACCCCTCCCATGCCCTCTCCCCTCTCATGCCCGCTTCCACCCCATCCCAGCGTCCTTCCCCCCCCACCTCACCTGCACCCCATAGCCCCAACAGTCTCTGCCTGCCCCAGAAGCAGCTGGGAGCGCGCCACAGCCAGGTCGCCCCTCAGGCTCTCCGCCTCGCTCCTCGCCGCCCGCAACTCCTCCTGCAGCACTGCCACTCGCGCCGGCACCTCCTCCGCCTTCACCTGCTCGCCCAACCCCGCCCCCACAATAGGATTGGAAAGAACGACGAAAGAGTCAGTGCGTTGAGCCAGATGAGGGAGAGTAGTGGTGGATGCAGAAACGTTGACTCGCCAAAGAGTGCATGGAGAAAGAGCGTGGGGGAGAAGAACATGTGGAGCACAGGGAGTGTGCCGTGAAGGAAAGGGGACAGCATCTTAGCTGCTCACCAAATGGTGCAGGGCAGGGGGACATCCGAGAGGTGCTAAGCTAAGGAGCACACCAAACAGTGCAGCAGTGCAACGATGGGTGCAGAACAGACGTGTGGGTATGCAGTGAGGAGACGAAGGGCAGGCATGGACACACCTTGAGGGAGGAGGAGAGCGCACCTTGAGGGAGGAGGAGAGCGCACCTTGAGGGAGGAGGAGAGCGCACCTTGAGGGAGGAGGAGAGCGCACCTTGAGGGAGGAGGAGAGCGCACCTTGAGGGAGGAGGAGAGCGCCTTCACAACGCCGTCCCATTGGTGCAGCAGGTCCACGGCTGCCTCCCCCGCCACGGCCTCGATGCGCCTCACACCCGCTGCGATGCCGGCCTCTGAGAGCAGCTTGAAGGCGCGGATGTGTGATGTGTTGCCCACGTGCGTGCCGCCACACAGCTCCATGCTGATGCCCGGCACGTCTATCACCCGCACCTGTTGGGGCAAGGAAAGGGGGGGCGTACGGGGTAGGCTCCTTATAACAAGTCGCTGGTGGTCACAACGACCCCTCGCCCCTCGGCACATGCGCTCTGCCCCTCCGCTTCCCCACATACCTCCTCGCCGTACTTCTCCCCAAACATGGCAATCGCGCCAGCAGCCTTGGCGTCAGCGATGGGCATGACGGCCGATGTGACGGCAGCGCCAGCAGCGATCCACTTGTTGACCCGTGCCTCCACGGCCGTGAGCTCGACGGGCGTGACGGCGCGCGGGAAGTGGAAGTCGAAGCGCAGCCGGTCGAACGCCACCAGGCTGCCCGCCTGCGCCACGTCCGGGCCCAACTGCTCGCGTAGAGCCGCTTGCAAAAGGTGGGTTGCTGTGTGGTGCGCCTGGGAGGGGGAGCGAGGGGAGGAAGAAAAGGGAAATGGAGAGGACAAAATAGAGAGGAGCGATGGGGACGAGAGAAGAGGAAATAGTTTGAGATTGCGAGTGGAGGGAAGTGGAAGTCGAAGCGCAGGCGGTCGAACGCCACCAGACTGCCCGCCTGCGCCACGTCCGGGCCCAGCTGTTCCCGCAGCGCTGCTTGTAGGAGATGCGTTGCCGTGTGGTGCGCCTGGGTGGGGGAGAGGGGGTGGGAGGAAGGGAAGGGTAACGGAGAGGAAAAAAACAGGGAGGAGCGATGGGGATGAGGTGTGAGGGGCAACGCCATTTCACAATTTAGTCCCCTCGCCTGCGCCCTCACTCTCTCACTCGCGCCCTCACCCCTCCCTTGCGCCTTCACCCCTCACCTGTGCGCGCAGCCGTTGCTCCTCATCCACCACCGCCTCCACCTCATTGCCCACACACACCTCGCCCTCCTCCACCTCCCCCCGGTGCAGCCACAGCCCTCCCCCCGCCCGCTGCACGTCCCGCACGTGCACCACCGCCCCTCCCTCCCCCCCTCCCCCCTGCAGCACATGCATGTGCCCCCAGTCGCCGATCTGCCCGCCCCCCTCGGCATAGAAGGGAGTGCGCGCCAGCACCACGTCCACCGCCTGCCCCGCTGCTGCGCGCTCCACCACCTTGCCCGCCACCACGAGTGCCAGCACGGGCGACGAGGAGGCGAGCGACGAGTACCCCACGAACTCGGTCTCGGGGACTTGCCCTGCCAGATCCGCCGCTGCCCCGCCCACTGCCAGCTTGATGGCACTGTGCGCCGCCTGGGGGGTGTTTGGGAGGGGACGGATGCGAAAGGGCGGTTTGTGGAAAGGAGGGGAGCAGCGAAATGTGTTTCAAAGAGATCCATACGAAGGGGAAGAGTTTGGAGGGAGGAGAGTGATGTGAGAAATACTGATGCCCTCTGCCCTCTGCCCTCTGCCCTCTGCCCTCTGCCCTCTGCCCTCTGCCCTCTGCCCTCTGCCCTCTGCTCACTGCCCATTGTGCACTGCCTGCTAGCATTGGACTATGTCTGTCTATCCTATTCCAAACCAGTTCGCCAGCTTGATGGCACTGAGCTCCGCCTGGGGGGGAGATGGTGAAGTTGGCAGTCGCTGGAAATGAAGAGAGCAGCGAATGAAAAGTGAAAGGGAGCCATCTGAAGGAGGTAGGCTGGAGGGAGGAGAGATGAAACGAGAACGACCGGTGAGGGCAGAACATCTTGCCCCACCTCCCAATCAACCCTCTCCCTCGTCCCACATTCCTAGCCCAGCTCCAATACTCTCCAGTTCTCTAATCCAGATGCAATTTCACTGTTCACTCTCGCCCGCACATGCATACCTGCGACTGCTTCCTCTGAGCCGCCATCTCGAGCTCAAAGCCCGCCATGTCCACGGCCACGCCCCTCTCCCTCGCCACCTCCTCTGTGATCTCCACGGGGAATCCATACGTGTCGTACAGCACAAACGCATCCCGCCCACCCAACACCGCCCCCGTCGCCACCCCCGCCCCCTCCCCTCCCTCCCCTCCTGCAGCAGCACCGTCAGCACCAGCAGCAGCAGCAGCGCTATCAGCAGCCTGGGCGAGCGCCTGGGAGAGCAGCAGGTCCAGCATCTTCTCGCCGCGCTCCAGCGTGGCCACGAACCGCTCCTCCTCGCGCCGCAGCTCCTCCACCACTCGCTCTGCTCTCTCCCCCACGTTGCTGTTGATGTCCGCGCTCATCGCTATCACCTGGGTGAGGAGGGGGGAGGGGGGGGGAAAGAGGGACAGGACGGGAGGCGCAGGGGGGATGTGGTGGGGAGGGAACACAGGCCCCACTGGCTCTGCTGCTCGCAGCTCCTCCAGCACGCGCTCTGCACGCTCTCCCACGTTGCTGTTTATGCCCGCACTCATGGCTATCACCTGGTAGAGCGGAGGGAGAGGTGAATAGGTGGGACGAGGTGGGGTGGGGGGTGGGAGGAAGCACAGGCTCCAATGGCACTGCTGCTCGTGGCTGCGCAGCTTGCGCCCTGCCCTATCAGCTGGTGGAGGGGGGAAGGAGAGGAGACGGAGGGGTTGAGACGTGAAGCAGGAAAAAGGACGATGAAGAGGTACAGGTACATGAAGTGAGTGGGGGATGGAACCCGGAAGCGCCAAGCATGCAGCTGCAAAGAAACAAATGGCGGGGGGAGCAGGCTAAATCGCACACCTGCCGAGCGATGATTGGCAGGAAGGCAGAGTCACCACCCCCAGCAGCACTGCCGTTGCCGTTGGCGGAGTCAGTGTGAGTGGTGGTGGTGCTGCCTGCATTGATCCCGAGCAGCCTGGCGGTCCGCACAAGGCGGCGCACGAGGCGACGCACGACGTAGCCGCGGCCGAGATTGGAGGGCGACACGCCGTCCGCCACGAGGTGCACCACCGCCCTCGCATGGTCGCCTATCACCTGCCATGCACGGGGGACGCCGGGGAGCAGGAGGTGAAAGAATTTTTAAATAGTCAGGGAACAAGTTGTATTAGCTGGAGTGAGCAGGAAGGATATACATGGAAGTGGGATGAAGTAGAACCCGAACCTAGACTGAACAGTGTCCCAACTATCCTGGTGGGGCTGCATGCATGGATGGCAGTCAAATGTGGGTGGCTGGGCAGCACAGCACACTACCGATGTGATGCGGTTGGGCAACTCGCCACAGTTGGTTGTCCTTCACATGTGACGGACGGCCAACACACCACAGTTGGTACACTATTGTACATTGGGTTTACTCCTTTTGGGGTGCTTATCCAATCCACACCCACCAGCCAATGCAAGACGGAGGAGGTGAGAGCAGCCAGGAAGATGAGATGGGGCGAGGTGAGATGATGTGAGACGCATGTAGCATGTGAGATGATGTGAGACGCATGTAGCATGTGAGATGATGTGAGACGCATGTAGCATGTGAGATGATGTGAGACGCATGTAGCATGTGAGATGATGTGAGACGCATGTAGCATGTGAGATGATGTGAGACGCATGTAGCATGTGAGATGATGTGAGACGCATGTAGCATGTGAGATGATGTGAGACGCATGTAGCATGTGAGATGATGTGAGACGCATGTAGCATGTGAGATGATGTGAGACGCATGTAGCATGTGAGATGATGTGAGACGCATGTAGCATGTGAGATGATGTGAGACGCATGTAGCATGTGAGATGATGTGAGACGCACGTAGCATGTGAGATGATGTGAGACGCACGTAGCATGTGAGATGATGTGAGACGCACGTAGCATGTGAGATGATGTGAGACGCACGTAGCATGTGAGATGATGTGAGACGCATGTAGCATGTGAGATGATGTGAGACGCACGTAGCATGTGAGATGATGTGAGACGCATGTAGCATGTGAGATGATGTGAGACGCATGTAGCATGTGAGATGATGTGAGACGCATGTAGCATGTGAGATGATGTGAGACGCACGTAGCATGTGAGATGATGTGAGACGCACGTAGCATGTGAGATGATGTGAGACGCACGTAGCATGTGAGATGATGTGAGACGCATTAGCATGTGAGATGATGTGAGACGCATGTAGCATGTGAGATGATGTGAGACGCATTAGCATGTGAGATGATGTGAGACGCATGTAGCATGTGAGATGATGTGAGACGCATGTAGCATGTGAGATGATGTGAGACGCATGTAGCATGTGAGATGATGTGAGACGCATGTAGGCATGTGAGATGATGTGAGACCGCATGTAGCATGTGAGATGATGTGAGACGCATGTAGCATGTGAGATGATGTGAGACGCATGTAGCATGTGAGATGATGTGAGACGCATGTAGCATGTGAGATGATGTGAGACGCATGTAGCATGTGAGATGATGTGAGACGCATGTAGCATGTGAGATATGGACCATTGTGAGACGATGTGAGACGCATGTAGCATGTGAGATGATGTGAGACGCATGTAGCATGTGAGATGATGTGAGACGCATGTAGCATGTGAGATGATGTGAGACGCATGTAGCATGTGAGATGATGTGAGACGCATGTAGCATGTGAGATGATGTGAGACGCATGTAGCATGTGAGATGATGTGAGACGCATGTAGCATGTGAGATGATGTGAGACGCATGTAGCATGTGAGATGATGTGAGACGCATGTAGCATGTGAGATGATGTGAGACGCATGTAGCATGTGAGATGATGTGAGACGCATGTAGCATGTGAGATGATGTGAGACGCATGTAGCATGTGAGATGATGTGAGACGCATGTAGCATGTGAGATGATGTGAGACGCATGTAGCATGTGAGATGATGTGAGACGCATGTAGCATGTGAGATGATGTGAGACGCATGTAGCAATGTGAGATGATGTGAGGACGCATGTAGCATGTGAGATGATGTGAGACGCATGTAGCATGTGAGATGATGTGAGACGCATGTAGCATGTGAGATGATGTGAGACGCATGTAGCATGTGAGATGATGTGAGACGCATGTAGCATGTGAGATGATGTGAGACGCATGTAGCATGTGAGATGATGTGAGACGCATGTAGCATGTGAGATGATGTGAGACGCATGTAGCATGTGAGATGATGTGAGACGCATGTAGCATGTGAGATGATGTGAGACGCATGTAGCATGTGAGATGATGTGAGGAACCATGTAGTCATGTGAGATGATGTGAGACGCATGTAGCATGTGAGATGATGTGAGACGCATGTAGCATGTGAGATGATGTGGACGCATGTAGCATGTGAGATGATGTGAGACGCATGTAGCATGTGGAGATTATGTGAGACGCATGTAGCATGTGAGATGATGTGAGACGCATGTAGCTGTGAGATGATGTGAGACGCATGTAGCATGTGAGATGATGTGAGACGCATGTGGCATGTGAGATGATGTGAGACGCATGTAGCATGTGAGATGATGTGAGACGCATGTAGCATGTGAGATGATGTGAGACGCATGTAGCATGTGAGATGATGTGAGACGCATGTAGCATGTGAGATGATGTGAGACGCATGTAGCATGTGAGATGATGTGAGACGCATGTAGCATGTGAGATGATTGTGAGACGCATGTAGCATGTGAGATGATGTGAGACGCATGTAGCATGTGAGATGATGTGAGACGCATGTGGCATGTGAGATGATGTGAGACGCATGTGGCATGTGAGATGATGTGAGACGCATGTAGCATGTGAGATGATGTGAGACGCATGTAGCATGTGAGATGATGTGAGACGCATGTAGCATGTGAGATGATGTGAGACGCATGTAGCATGTGAGATGATGTGAGACGCATGTAGCATGTGAGATGATGTGAGACGCATGTAGCATGTGAGATGATGTTGAGACGCATGTAGCATGTGAGATGATGTGAGACGCATGTAGCATGTGAGATGATGTGAGACGCAGTAGCATGTGAGATGATGTGAGACGCATGTAGCATGTGAGATGATGTGAGACGCATGTAGCATGTGAGATGATGTGAGACGCATGTAGCATGTGAGATGATGTGAGACGCATGTAGCATGTGAGATGATGTGAGACGCATGTAGCATGTGAGATGATGTGAGACGCATGTAGCATGTGAGATGATGTGAGACGCATGTAGCATGTGAGATGATGTGAGACGCATGTAGCATGTGAGATGATGTGAGACGCATGTAGCATGTGAGATGATGTGAGACGCATGTAGCATGTGAGATGATGTGAGACGCATGTAGCATGTGAGATGATGTGAGACGCATGTAGCATGTGAGATGATGTGAGACGCATGTAGCATGTGAGATGATGTGAGACGCATGTAGCATGTGAGATGATGTGAGACGCATGTAGCATGTGAGATGATGTGAGACGCATGTAGCATGTGAGATGATGTGAGACGCATGTAGCATGTGAGATGATGTGAGACGCATGTAGCATGTGAGATGATGTGAGACGCATGTAGCATGTGAGATGATGTGAGACGCATGTAGCATGTGAGATGATGTGAGACGCATGTAGCATGTGAGATGATGTGAGACGCATGTAGCATGTGAGATGATGTGAGACGCATGTAGCATGTGAGATGATGTGAGACGCATGTAGCATGTGAGATGATGTGAGACGCATGTAGCATGTGAGATGATGTGAGACGCATGTAGCATGTGAGATGATGTGAGACGCATGTAGCATGTGAGATGATGTGAGACGCATGTAGCATGTGAGATGATGTGAGACGCATGTAGCATGTGAGATGATGTGAGACGCATGTAGCATGTGAGATGATGTGAGACGCATGTAGCATGTGAGATGATGTGAGACGCATGTAGCATGTGAGATGATGTGAGACGCATGTAGGCATTGAGATGATGTGAGACGCATGTAGCATGTGAGATGATGTGAGACGCATGTAGCATGTGAGATGATGTGAGACGCATGTAGCATGTGAGATGATGTGAGACGCATGTAGCATGTGAGATGATGTGAGACGCATGTAGCATGTGAGATGATGTGAGACGCATGTAGCATGTGAGATGATGTGAGACGCATGTAGCATGTGAGATGATGTGAGACGCATGTAGCATGTGAGATGATGTGAGACGCATGTAGCATGTGAGATGATGTGAGACGCATGTAGCATGTGAGATGATGTGAGACGCATGTAGCATGTGAGATGATGTGAGTACGCATGTAGCATGTGTGAGATGATGTGAGACGCATGTAGCATGTGATGATGATGTGAGACGCATGTAGCATGTGAGATGATGTGAGACGCATGTAGCATGTGAGATGATGTGAGACGCAGTGAGATGTGAGATGACTGTGAGACGCATGTAGCATGTGAGATGATGTGAGACGCATGTAGCATGTGAGATGATGTGAGACGCATGTAGCATGTGAGATGATGTGAGACGCATGTAGCATGTGAGATGATGTGAGACGCATGTTAGCCTGTGCGGATGATGTTGAGACGCATGTAGCATGTGAGATGATGTGAGACGAATGTAGCATGTGAGATGATGTGAGACGCATGTAGCATGTGATGATGATGTGAACGCATGTAGCATGTTTTAGTATGATGTGGACGCATGTAGCATGTGAGATGATGTGAGACGCATGTAGCATGTGAGATGATGTGAGACGCATGTAGCAATGTGAGATGATGTGAGACGCCTGTAGCATGTGAGATGATGTGAGACGCAATGTAGCATGGAGATGACTGTGAGACGCATGTAGCATGTGAGATGATGTGAGACGCATGTAGCATGTGAGATGATGTGAGACGCATGGTAGCCATGTGAGATGATGTGAGACGCATGTAGCATGTGAGATGATGTGAGACGCATGTAGCATGTGAGATGATGTGAGACGCATGTAGCATGTGAGATGATGTGAGACGCATGTAGCATGTGAGATGATGTGAGACGCATGTAGCATGTGAGATGATGTGAGACGCATGTAG